TAATTTGGCACTCCCCCTTGAATGTTTTATATATCGTTGAGCTAACCTATTATTCATTAATAAATCCTCTTATAGTTTAAGACGGAGCAGAAAAGTAGGACGTTAAACCCATTTCATTTCATTTCATCTATAGTTTAAGAATGTATCTTTGTAAGGAGTGGTTTATCTGTCGTTTGAAGTATCTGTTGTCTTCACTATTTTAAGCCCATCTGGTCTCACAGTTCATGTAAATAGTTATATCAGACACCACTACACGCCGTAGGCATGTTTGGTTTCAACTCCTATCTTTCAAAAAGTTGTAAAGTTTCTAAATGTACATGTGAAAAACTAACAAATCGTTTCTGCCATTTCTAGAAGATAATGTCGATCCAAGGTTCTTTCTATACGATGAGTAACGCACCACTAAAAATATCATTCGACAAATTAACTGTTAAACAATTCGATCAGATTAAGATAAGATTAAAGGAACTAAACCTCTATTCTTTGGCATCTTAGAATAAACGAAAATGGATCGAAAATATATATGAATGTATATAAATTGATATACATATTCATTTCTTATTTTTTTTTTTTATGGTAAGTTCAATCTACAAGGTTATCTTTTAGTCTTTTGTGGATCAGACAGTTTTAATTTCTTCTACATTGATTCGTGGGATATGTTTTGCTTTGTAATTTGTTCATCGCGCCTTCTCATTACAAATGGCGCTGGAGACCATAGAGATCCCGACTTGTTTACTGATTTTAAAATATTCGTTGTGCACTAAGTGTTGGATATTAGGAGCCCATATTTTCACGGTAAGATAACGTCAATGTTGATAGAAATAGACCAATAATTTATTCTCATTCGTGTCTTTAATTTCGAAGATTGTGGATAATACTAATTTTGAGGTTCACCTCCTTTAGAATAATATATTTTAAGTAACGACAGTAAATTAGAGGTACTGTACATAATAAGTAGTCCATCCTCTTATAGCAAAAAGCAACTACGTCTAACCTTTGCATGGGGTTAAAGCATGCTATGTTATGGCCTTCCACATCTTCATTAGCCCGGACGTTAAACCCCATTTCATTTGTTATGGCCTTCTTAAAACGTTTTAGGTCAAATACAACGGTTGAAAACTCAAATTCTTAGATTAATTGCCTACCAAAATAATGTGTGTTTACTGTAGGTGGAGTTATCGGGAGATAAACAATAGGTAATATTCTTGAATTTCTAAATCAATATGCAAACATTTAGTTTGATCAAAGGCTGATTGATGACGACATGTTATTCTGGCTTGCATAAAATCAATATCACATTGATAGTCTTTAATTTATATAGGTTGGTTCTCCATTAGTTGTCTTTAAACACTTGTATTATCTCTCTTCATCAATGGGTTCGATGTACCTTAGTTGTCTTTAAACACTTGTATTATCTCTCTTCATGAATGGGTTCGATGTACCTTGCTTGCCACGAATTTCCAATAGTCCAATAATCTGTCACCAAATTATTGATTATTTGATCAGTAGCTCGTAATAAACCGCAACAGCCCAGCTCTGCAATAAACGGGCAGGTTTAAAATCTGGACACTATGGATAATTGGAATGTGGGACAATAGCTATTCAATTGCAAACAGGTCAATCAAATTTAAAGCCCATATAAAGACAAACAGACAGGAAATTCTCATTTCAGTAGTATTTGACAGTTTTGTCTAGGTGACATCTGCTAGTCATAATATTTTGACGTCTGATTCTGATTATGGCATTTAAATTTTGTTGTACAGTCCTACAAGATCCACAACGTCCACGTGAGGTTTTAGTAAATATTATAAAAATGTGTCAAAAAGAAAATGTCACACAGAACCTGTCATGAGATCTATATCAACCAACGCAAAAAGACCGGAAATTCGTTACCGAATGTCTTTTGTGCACAATTATTAATAGAAATTGTCAGTTAAGTGAACTTCACAGAAAGGGTATCATTTATTCCAGTAAGAGTAATTATACCATACCCTATCCGTCACAAATTACAGCTAATTGACTGGGTTTGTGTAAAATAAACCCCACGGACCCACTCCTTTGGCGCAGATTATAGCTAATTGGTGCGTCAGATTTCATTTGGATCTCCGAACGAAGCGTATTGGTAGAAGGTAAAAATAGCCTACTGGTCACCAGAAATATCACTAATCAAGTTGTTCAGATACCTTAATTGTTAGCTATGTTCTAAAAAGAATAAACTAGCCTGCCTCGCGCACTATAACTAATTGGTGTGCGATAGTTTGCATTTGGACTCAGTAAAAGATAGTGTGGACATCAAGAGAGTAGCGCCACTTTAAACATTATCCCCGATGATATGACCACCGAGTGAATTATCGGACAGAATGTCAGATCAGAAACCCAGTGGAATTTTATGACCGGGGCTAGATCGAATAGTTCATACAGTAACTGTGAAGCCAATATGTCAAATGATAAATGATTCGACCATCCATTGTATTTTCACCCAATGATCCCAGATTCGGCCGCGAGACCCGAGGGGATTTTCGTCCATCCAGTGGAATTTTACACAAGAGTTCATCCAGTTAATGTGAAGCTAATATGCTACGTGGCAAATGATGCGACCATCTACTGAATTTTCATTAGGTGAATTTTTAGCAGTTATGGCAAAACCTAGATGCCACCCTTCTGTCACCCACCTTGGCATAACTAATATTTTCTTACATGGCTAATATGCTAGAAGATCACTATCTCGGAAGACCAACGTGCTAGCTACTAGATTCTATGTGTAAGGCAACCCATGAATTTTTCAGTCAAGATCCCATAGATCCCAGTTCTCAGGTCTATCAAGTGAATTTTCAGTATCTAGATCTCAGACGCGACCTGTTTGTCACACCTCTTGGCATAATCAATATCATTGATGATGTTTGTTAGGCACTGCGAACATGTGCACGCGAACATGTACATCGGACCTCGGTCTTTAGTCCCATCCGAACGACCAGACGTTGTTCCTTGCCAGGCCCTCCATCATGCTCGGCGAACATCAAGATCCAACCTGGGACTAGCCTATTTCTGTTTCTTGAACATGGTCGTGATATGACGCCATAAAAATGTTTTGGGTGCTATAACTGTCTATTGCATCTTTGCTCAAAACAATGACATCATTTGATCTGTCAAATTTCCTTAATACCAGGAGGGGCAAATTTATTAATAAAACTTATTTGAACCTTGGGAAAATGGTGCCGCATACATGCAAAATGTTTTGGGGGACCGTGATCCGAAAATAGGCAACTGGGCCACTGTGGTTCCCCGATTGTCATTATTAATCGTCGGACTACTGAGACTTAATAGTAAGATACTATTGGTATGCTGGTCTATTAGACCTGCTGTCCACAATCATTGGATTGATGAATATTGGTACTATGGATGTATGATTTGGCAATAATAACATCACCAGAAAGGAACGCTCGTTCAAAATGTTTGGATTTACGATGATTGAGTAGTCTATGTTTTTTTAATTTATGATATTCTTCAAAATATAGCTACATTTATTTTATTGATGAAAGTGATGACGCCCATTTAATATTAAAATACAAAATTGGTATGCTTTTGAGTTCTATAGAATATACCATACCCGCGATTCGATTTGAATCACAAAGCATCTTTCCAAAATACAGTTTATCTTATACACCCACGCTTCCAAATTCTATCTTTTTCGAGTTCTAATGGCCTTGGATTTTATTTTCATCAAGCTTGGTATTTTTTTTATTTTGTGTATGTGATGTTCTTTACATCACGATTTTAACGATGAATAATGCCAAAGACATATTTTGAAAGTTCCAAATTTCGTTTTAAATTCATGTTTTTCTCCATGGGTCTTTTTCGCAAAGGAAAGGCGTTCTATCTACTTCTGCTATGAACATCAGAAAACGCGCAGGGGTCTCGTTAAAGAATTCTTTACCTCTTACTTATAACTGGAGTACGTTTATGTAAAATTCATGTGTACTGCACAGTCTACATGAACTATATAGTAGACCCGTGTCATCTTTTTGTATTCCTTACAAATTTGGTTTCTCTTTGAATTTGAAAAATAATGTTATCTTTTAGTCAAATCAGAACGCCTATGTGAATGAAAAATCTCTTTTTAATATGGGATCACAGCAGGGAATTTGGATCATACACGCTTATTAGGTTCAGACTCAATTTTCAAGAACATTTACATCAAATTTAACGTGATTGATGAGTGCTTTTACAAAAGGCAAGTTTCATAGAAATTTACTTATGATAAATATATATATATAAATTTGGTTCGCCATTTTGTGAGATGGTGCTAAACAAATTTGAATTGGAGGTTGCTTTTTGAGAACTTGAAGCTGTATTTGACAACACTTAATGCGGCAGTAGGCGTATCTTGAATAGCGTCAAATTAAATGTTGTACATGTATGTACTAGCATGTATGTATAAAAGGTGAATTGAAGATGATGTACGAAGAAAGAGTAAGAAGGGATTACTAAAGCCACTGTGAAATTTGATAGTGCTGTACGTAAACCGTGAAAGACAAACCGAAGTCATATATAACGAGTTGACACTTACTAAAGAGCGAATCACAATAACAACACAGTGTGACATTGAAAATCTGTCAAATTAAATCAGTTTTAAAATACCAGTAAACCATGTGGAAAGGTTTTTTTTTCAAAAGGAAATATTTCATACCATTTTGTGTTAATGAAAGGGGGCAGCAACTGTCATAAATTGTATGCTGGATACTTTTGCCATGCTTCATGAGGTACAAGATTACAAATAAACTTCATGATAAAATGGCTATTATTAAGTAATATTGTGTTTGAATGTCTAATATATCATGTTGATGGACCTGTGAGTAATGTAAAAGATGAAATTGTCTATTTAAAAAACAAGATCAACGGATTGATAATTTATATATAATGTGTTCTGTCTTGCATTAAGTACCAGTATCACGTGTCATGAACAGTTTACGTACTGGTGGTGATTTTATATCTTTTTAAAATAATATGTTAGATGTTTTATCATCTTCATTTATGCAAGTCGCGACACTAAACGGAAGTTCATGTCAAAACCTATCATTGACATTGTACTTCTTAAAGGTAGAATGTCATTGGTACTTCGGATTTGCGCGGATGAGTGCTGCGAGAAATCAAATTTTATTTTTCTTGTTAAAGTTTAGGAGAAGTTTCATTTTCCATATATTGGCCAGAATTGTTCATCGAGTAAAAGGGAGATGTCTGTAACTCTTAGATAACCGAGGTGTTGGACCGTGTATATGAATGGTAATAAATCATAGGTCTAGACGATATTGATATTATGTCTTGTAAAACATTGTAAAGAGAAAGGGAGAGACGGTTTATGTGTTCATACCCATTTACTTTATTAATTTGTCTTCCATCTCGACATTATTTCGTAGTCCAGACGATGTTCTCAAACACAGAAACCAATCATACAGATTAGATTCCATTTGTATCGAGTTGAGGGCATATATAGCAACCGCTTGACACTCAATTAGAATGACTCAGGGAGATTAATAATTAGAGCTTATTATGTAATAGTCTGATCGTGACGGAAGAATTATCTGTATATTAGTGAATCTCAGAACTGTCGGTACCAGGTCAGAGTGCACAGTTTGGAAAAATCTAATAATTGTGATTCTGAGTGTTAAAAAAAATACTATGGAATTGGGGATTTTTTTTTTAGGAAACCTTCAGTATAATCACATTTTCTTCAAGTGATATTGACACCTGAAATCTCATGTTTGTTTACTGGTTCTTTCATTCATAAACATCATTCTCCGGTATATGATCTTTTACTATTCCAAAATATACGCGTTAAAGTGGATGAAACACATTTCATTAGACGTTGTTAGAAGGATTTAAAGGAACATATGTACAATTAAGTTTGATGGAGTTGACATCCAAAGGCATGTTGCACAAGTATTGCACTTACCTCATATTACAGTGTGGGGTTAGAAAGAGGATGCTGAGATGATGTACCTAGAGCAAAGATAATATGAATAGGGACAAATATCTTTTATTGTATTCATTACAGAATGTTACAAAGAGGTTATAGGATATTTTGTGCTTGACAAAAACCGTTCGGATGTTTTAGCAGATCTTTCGCCGAGTTTTGGATGAACCTCTTATTTTTCGAGAGCCAATCAAATTCTATACTGCTTAATGAAGACTTATTAATGCTGTTGTTTAAAGTATTGTGTGAGAAATGTCTCTAAATGATGTTTAATTGATTGTAAAAGGGGCATACAGCATGTGTATCTTTATACACCGTGATTGCCTTGTAGATATGTGATTGATGGCTGGCGACTTTACTTCACTCCTCGTGTTAATGTATAAACGAAAAGGAGAAAGCCTATTCTGACATGCAGTCTTCTCTATGTATCCCAATTTGTTTATTCATCTTAGTCATTACTATTCCATCCACTCCCTGGGCTAAAAGACGCAACAAGAATCGATCAGGTAGGTAGATTAATCTCATTTATCCAAATCTTTAAATTGTTTTACTATACAAAGTCATTCCAAAAAGCGCAAATTTAATTTCGCATAAATATAAGTATATATAACTGATTGAATTGTTGAGATTTTTGATGTAATGGATCTTGATAGTTTATATGAAATAGTCATTAAATTTTATATCAGGTAAATTTATAATTAGTCTTTTTAGACGTTATTAGTGTATAAACGTATGGATGTATCTAATTAAATTACCCATAACTAAGTAAATTATATTTGAACGAAAACCACGTGTTAAACTGTGAGTGTGGAATTCAAATTAAATTTTCTTGCATGGTATGTTTATTTAAAGAAATGCATGCCGCCAAGAACTTACATCAATATTGGTTTTTGTATTAGGAAATGTTTTTAAAATTATCAAGCAAACATTACGTAACTCACTTTTCATGCTGCGTGAATAAATTCCCCGTTATCATAACGAAATCTAAACCACACTTACAAATACTTCTCCGCCCTCTAAAGAGTGCTTCACTTCAACAAACAAGTGTCGTTTTACTTATCTAATATCAAATATGCAAACTTTGTCCCCAATGTTTCGTTTCTTTTCTGTTTAATTCTTAAAGTGTATTGAAGTTTTATTTTATATCTTGACATTCCTTTATATACCACACCTTATCTCTGTGTATACAAATGATACATAGCTTATTACATAACTAGTAAAGGGCTACATGTACCTATATCTGTCCTATAGGCATTTGCGGGCTTAAGGGCTTAGTAAAATATATTTAGCCCTTGGTCCGAAATTGTGACCCAGATATGGTATCTGGTGAATATATTCTTTTGGGGTTTTGACGGGTGTCAAATCATCAGAAAAAAGGATCGCAGGTGTGTCCATTCCTCGCTACACGCTGTTATTAGATAGATTATAAGTTCGAGGGACTGTAAATGGATGGAATCGCTATGACATACAGATCAATGAAGTGGTACCATGCTTTTATATAGCTTCCAAGTCAGTAACAGACTGTGAGTCGGAGGTTCCTGAGCCTGCCCCGTGGGGGCTCCCGCTCTATATCCTAAGTACCAAATCTTCAGAGACTGCAAACCATATATCAAAGGACAAGCGTACCAATTCATCAAAGATGGTGTAGATTCAAGATTATAATGGGTCAAAAGAACCCACAAACTATGTGAGAACATTAACTCTTGGGGAGCCCCGAGCCTTCCATACTTACAGGCTCCTTCTCAGTCCATCCCAGTTCCAAACTCAAATTGCAAATGGAACAAGTGCAAGAACAAATTTAACTTTTTTGAGTATTACGAACGTGGATTTGTATGAGATTAGAAACATGTTGCTTTGTTATATTTATGTAAAATGTTATGGATTTACATTAAAACTTCTAAATGTAACGACACAGAAGCTACATGTATGTCATTGAAGAGATCTGCAGGGCACACGCACGCATATTGACACGCAGTCCTCCAGAACTTGCTTCCAGTTGATTTTTATTCGAAATCAAGATATATCAATGGCCAACGGATTGTAAAAATCTTGAATTGTTATTGACGATAACTTCTAGCATTCTACAGATACAAGTTTAACCTTTCACTAGGGGTGCAGCTTTCCCGGAATAATTTTCCCACAGTCCAACCCTACGAAAAGTAGCCCTTGATCGAAGAATCAATCCAAAAACCACCAGTACAGACAATAGCTGAACACTGAAATTGATTTACCTGTGTCTTCTAGTGTCCGATTGAATAATGCTATCTGTGCCTAATTTATCATCACATTGTTGTTAAGTTTTGTTGACGAAGAATTACTAAGTAGCTGTACTGGGCTGTAGCCTACCAAGCCAGTAACGTCAGCTGGATTTCTCTCGGATTGTCATCTGAGCCTTTTATCATCTTCAATCGAATTGGAATATTTTTTTGGTAGGCTCTATTTAATCTCGAATTAATAGTAATACAATTCTGAAGCTGTTATTTCTCCTATAAACGTGCTAGACAACTAGATTAGAACATAATTATTAAGTTTGGTTGACATTTTGGATTGGCCCCGAACTACCCGTCCCCTTGTCTTGTCAACTAGGCAGTATCTAAGCCTTTCTAATCACACCGCGGTCCTTGTATACGTTTAATTAAACTATTTGGCATTTAACTAAGCTTCAGATTTCCAATATTGCATTTCTGGGGTCCAACCTGGTGGGTTTTCTCCAGGTCCCCCGGTTTCCTGCCACTGCTAAAGACCCCTACGCGCAAGCGAATTATTGAAATAAAATTAAACCACATTATGTTAGTCCCGAAATGATCTAGTTTGTGTCGAGTGGACTTTAAACCCCACTTCTCTCTCTCTTTGCATTTCTGGGGACAATGTTGTTTTCTTCTACATGTACCATAGTGAATCCAATGGATGTCTGTTTATCATTCTGTAACTCGAGGCATATTAACGTGTCTAAATTTTGCCTTTAAATAATAAACAAGGTAATAGACGTCTATATACAAACCATCCTTTCTTTAATTCAACACCATATCTTTATTATGTCTGATCAAACTACTTTGGAAAATTGCCTATAATATAAATACGTTATATAAACTAACCTCATCCATGGTATAAAGGCTAATATTTAATGAGGTCTTCTTTTTAATGTGAATATAAACTCTGGTTTTATGAGCCCGTCAACGCGTGGAAGCATAATTGTGAAAGAAAATGTTTAAAATTAAAAAAGACGGTCGTTAGCATGTCTCTAAACAGCGTTATAATGAAGTCCCTTTGAAAAATATATATGGTTCTCATTGGCACTCTCGTTATAGTGGAGATCCGTTGTAATTTAAAATGCAAATTAGCAGACAAGGTGTGGCACCCGTCGTTAAATACATACGAAACATTAAAATTAATTTTAAAAAGATAGGTTGCCGGGCAACGAAACATACGCTTCACAGAAGCATGTCAGTTGTCCATGGGTCCACTAAGGTTTTCACTCTTTTTTTTTCTCTTGTGGATAAGGGGCAGGATTTTACACGATGAAATAATTATCATAAATGTTTAAAATTTGATTCTAGTTCTTCCTATAGTGCTAACATTTATAATACAGTGACTTCTCGTGAACACTATTATAAATTTCAAATCAGTCGGATGGATAAGTTTAGGATAAAGAGCGTCCTCGAGAATTTTCAAATTGATCAAGGATCAAAACTCTAACAGTAATTATAGGAAATAATTGTGGACGACCGACGGACGGACGGTGTGACAACAATATATACGGTTTTACGACCGCATATCAATGTTGGCGTATAAAAAGAAGAAAAAAAAGATAACAGTAATACGTCTACAGCTGCAATCATCAAAGACGGATCATCAATGTCATCAAGCTTCACTAAACTACATGTGCTTGAATCATTGGTCATAAACCGAGACGTCTGGAGAAGTCGATCTTGGCACAAAGTTCATCATGATAATAGCAGTTCAAGACTTGGTCGATTGTATTTTATTAGCAGGAAGAAATTAGGCATGGTGGTGCCATGCTTGCTTGTCTGGTGAGTCAGAAAAAACATAAGCAAACCTTTAAATGATGAGCAATTATTAGGTCTGCTAACCCGAATCTGTCTGGAAATTGTACTATATAATGTGTGTTTGGCGTAGTCTGTATACTTTTTTTTTCGGGTCAGGTCGACCAGTCATCGAGTACGTTTCTCGTCTTTTCTGTTACTGACCAACTCAGACAGGACAAGACATCGAAATTCAGACTGTGGCTTCGTACAGAGCCGATGTATCATATGTAAATAACGAAATAGTTACAAACTCAGAACATTATGTTTCACCTGCCCTGATGATAAATATTTATATTAATTGTAAATAGGTATGATCGGCTACATTATATTACCAATACAACACTCCATGGTCTGTTAATAATAAATAATGGAATATAATAAACTGGTGCTGCTTAATTATAGCAAGAGATCGCATTTACTTTCAGTCCCAATCGGTTCTCTACATGTACTTTTACGTTGTATAACTGAATAGCCTATTGGGATGATGGGGAACATAGGTTATCTTTATTTATCTTAACGGGCAAGAACTGAATTTAGCAAACACACTTGACTGTTTAAAGTTGAAGCTTAACTAAATACTAAATCTAAATAGGTGTAAGTAAGTCATTATATGAAGCATCATAACCTGGTTTTTGGTGATTTACATTTTTTAAAAGGATTCAACATTTCGAAGAATGCATGCCAATATAGTCATCATGGGGAATATAAAAACACCCCCAAACTCACTTTTACCTTGTTTTTCTGTTTCTGTTGTCTTTTGAATACCTAAACCAGGTATGTATTGATAAGTTTTAGTATTTTATTATTTAGCAGAATTTAACTGTGAGCACCATTCAGGGCTTGAGGTTTCTAAAAGTCTTTATCCCCCTTCTGGTGACAAGATGCAATTGATAATCTTATGATATGATATGAAGCATTTAATCTTAATCTGAAAAATCGGCAGGAGTATACTTGACTTTAATAATATCGCCAAAAGGGCATGTAGAAATTACACCACGATGAATCTGCGGGGCAGATTTGGCTGAGATGACTAGTATGAATATAATACGAGATACTACTAATCAGCACAGTTCGTAGGGGTGGCGCTTTAGAGGCTGGGTTGGATGAGACTCAAAACAAAAGTCTTGAAACATTGGACCGCACGTAAAAAAAACCCAAAAAAACCCTAAACAGTTGAAATTGAAGGAGAAATGGGGAAACGCCGTCGTCTGTGCAAAATTGTCCAACAGAAATAAATATTGCCATAAAATGTATGCCTCAAAATCAACGATGTATTTAAGTGGGTATATTATTTTATGGTTAAATAGCTATACATAATGGTATTTAAGAAGGAGCAACAGTTCTCATTAGTAGGGATGCGGGGTTTTAATTTACGTGTGTGGCGTGTACCTCCCTCCCCCTCTCACCTTTTTATGCGCCCACATTTTCATGTGGCGGTATTATTGTCATCGCCCCTGTCAGCCCGGACGTCCGTCCAAAATTTGTTTGTGGACACTCTACGGGTCACAATTCTTATCCGATTTTGACGAAACTTGAAATATAGGTTCAAAAGATCTCGGTTCCTTTCGATATTGGCATGTATCGGATCGAAACTTCATAGATTATGGCCCCTAATCATGATTGTACGAAAAATCACGTTTTTAGTTTGTGGACACTCTAGAGGTCACAAGTTTTATCCGATTTAGATGAAACTTGAAATTCGTTATTCGCGCATATGGCCACTCCTTGTATACGCGATTAGTGTAAAAGTTTGTAATGCCAAGGATGTGGACCCTCTAGAGGTCACAATTTTTATCCGATTTTGATGAAATTTAAAATATATGTTTATATCCCAAAGAACCAGGTCACTTTCGATATTCGCGCATATCGAACCGTAACTTCCTGGATTATGGCCCCTGACTCTATGAAAAATAACGTATTTAGCTTGTGGGCCCTCTAGAGGTCACAATTTTTATCCCATTTTAAACAACAATGTCACCGTTACACCCTAATGACGACTGAGTTCGAATTTCGTGAAAATCAGACAATTAAGTGGACGCTCTTTGTACGCAAGTATCAGATGTTGATGAAACTTAAAATATATGTTTATGTCCCAAAGATCTCGGCCCCTTTTGCTATTCGCGCATATCAGCCCGTAACTTACTGGATTATGACCCTTGATTGTACAAAAAATCACGTTTTTATTTTGGAGCCTCTAGTCACAATTTTTATCCGTTTTAAAAATCGTTTAAATATATCACCGTTACACCATTCGTTCGAATATCGTGAAAATCGGAACAATACTGCCCGACTTAATGGCCGCTCCGTACGCAAAGAAAAATCATGTAATGCCAAGGTTGTGGGCCCTTTCTAGAGGTCACAATTTTTATCTGATTTTGATGAAACTTAAAATATATATATTTATATCCCGAAGATCTCGGTTCCTGTAGATATTCACGCATATCGGACCGTAACTTCTGGATTATTGCCTCTGATTTTACGAAAAATCACGTTTTTAGGTGGATTTTTTTTATCTTGTTTATTGTCCATCTCTTGCAAAATGTGGGCGAATCTTGCATGGCAACCGCTTGTTTATAAAATCCACACCAAAATATTATTACGAAATATTTGCTAAAACTCGTGTAGATATCGTGTAGATAATGATGGTCTACAAGGACAAAGTCAAATAGTGGATGCGTGTCCTTTTTCATTTGATTCCGCAATGATTCAAACTTTATTGTATGTTGAAAGCTTGTAAACGTGCTACAGAAAAGTACAAAGGAATTTTTGATAATTCTTGTGGTGATTGTTGAGGCAAGGAAGAGGTCAAATTATGTTTGGTATGTTAATGTATAACCGCAGTTATCTTCATCATTACATTTCGACCCGGTATGAAGTTCATATTGGAATTTTAAAAATTTTATTGGCGGAATTTGTTGATCCCAATATTAGAGCTAGCACTGCAGGGACGTAAATATGGTAACATAACTCTAGCATCTTGGGAACGACTGTTTAACAACTCTGCATTCGCTTTCCAAATGCGAAGTTCAATCATCAATATGAATTACTAAATTACTATTTAAAAGTCTTCATTTCGTTTTTGTGTAGTATAATAACATTTATAGTACCATGGCTTTATCAAAAGTACAAATATTGAATATATAGAAGCCCATTTTTTCCCCACAAAAATCACAACATCAGTGTTGATTTAAATGCACAAATAATTCGTGTTTTCAATGTCGAAAACTTTGGATGTTATTGAGTTAGTTACTTTAATGAGGTTCATAGTTCTCATTTTCTAGTGTGTTACGGTGGAGGGATTACACATTCAGTAAGTTAGCCCATCGTAATTTCTATTAGAAATTGATAATATGTATAATTCCAGGAAAAGATTGTGAAAAGGGAAAACATAATTGTCATAAAGATGCCACCTGTATAAATACTAGAAGATCATTTAGATGTCGATGTAAACCTGGATTTACTGGTAACGGTAAATCTTGCCAAGGTAGGTCTCAAAAATGCTTTTTGTTTTGTAGTCACTAATTATAGATATTACTTTTAAAACTTTAAAACAAAAATAAGCAATAGACATGGGTACAAGTTATGTATTCAGATCTTCAAGATTTTGCATAATTATAAGGGTTTCTGAAATTAATGAATATAAAAGTTAATATGTTTGATTTCAGATAAAGATGAATGTAGTAATGAGAATGGAGGTTGTGTACATACATGTATTAATTCACCTGGTAATTATACCTGTCAATGTTTTCCTGGATTTTACCTTGCACCAGATGGCCATGGATGTTTAGGTAACATTTTTTCAAATTTCTTTGTATTGATTTGTATTTTCTTTCATCTTTTATGGCAGCTAACAGAACATTCTTTATCATATCTTATTCATTTAATACTTTTGGGGTTCATAACATCTTTCACAATTTATATTGGACCTTTCAGTTTATAGAATATGTTCATAATAACACAATTTTATGGATTTGCAACCTCTTATTTTATTACATGCAGATAAACAGAAGAATATTTATAAATTTTTATACGTCACATACGCCCATATTGAAATGTGGTCGTATATTGCCGTCGTCCCTGTCGGTCGGTCCGTCAATCAGGCGTCCACAAGCAATTGTGAACGCTCTACAGGCAAACGTTAATATCTGATTTTCTTTAGATTTATACACAGTTATGGCCCTTGATCACTTTGAAATATCTTGCGGACGCTATAGACACTAAATTTAATTTACGATTGACTTGAAATTTATACACAGTGTTTATAAGCTCATGAGACATATAAGGTCATGAGACAAAGAAGCCAATAGTTTATCAATTATCGATAATTACTGCCAGAGATATGACCCTTGATTACATTGAAATATCCTGTGGACGCTCTAGACGCTAAAGTTAATATCCGGACTGTTGATTTTCAAAGATTTCTGATAATTACTGCCAGAGTTATAGCTCTTGATCACTTTGAAATATCTTGTGGATGCTCTAGACGCTAAAGTTCATATCCGATTGACTTTATATTTATACACAGTGTTTAAGGTCATAAGACGAAGAAGCCTATATATATTATTATCAACAATTTCCGATAAATACTGCCAGAGTTACGGACCTTGATCACTTTGAAATATCTTGTGGATTGAATTGAAATTTATACACTGTGTTTAAGGTCATGAGATGAAGAACCTATCAATTTTCAACGATTTCCATGGATCATGGCAATTGATATTAAATATTTTGTATGTTAAATTTTAGAATAGGGCAGAACTAGAAGCCAAATGGATTGTTTCTCGTAATCAGATTTCAGTGTGTCATAAATGTTTTCATTTCTGACAAAAGAAAAATATATGCGGCAACCCTTGTTGACTTCCTGGACGACTTAGCTGCTGTGGGCGTATGTTTTGTTGCCTGGCAACCTATCTTTGTTCTAACTTTTGTGTTATTTAGATAAGAATGAGTGTTTGGATAGAAGAGGAAGTTGTGAACATCAGTGTATTAATACTTTAGGAAGTTATGAATGTCGCTGCAACTTTGGTTATTCCTTACAGTCTAATGGGAGAAATTGCCAAGGTGATGACTCAAAATGTGATTTTATCTCATTTCTAAATTACATTAGACATTATCATATTCTACTATTGAATTCTGTTATCTGGAACATGAAAGGTCAATGTGGTATACTTTAACTAAAAAAAGTTAAGACTTACAGCAATCTGTCTTACAATGTTGTGAATTCATTAAAAAATGATGAGAAAATTTTTCTTGATCATTTGTTTTTGTAATTAACATCAATCATTTTCTCTTATTTGGTGAGTAAGACATTGGCTTGCTAAGCTGAAGGTCCTGTGTTCGATCCCTGTTTTGACCGAGAAAGTTCATCAGGATTTCCCGACATGGTTCCCCCTAGTCAGTAATGCAGCGTGCAAGTAAAAGAACCCTTAGCAGTTGGAATTCTATGTAATAATTTCCCTCATAGCACACTGTGTGGCATATGCCTGTCTTCATTCACCCAGTCGGTGCAGAAATGTAGGATATTAAACCTCACTTAATCTGGACGTAAATGTGTGGTGATTGGTCATGGGGTCATAAGTTAAACACTTGATTTTGCATAACTATTGGCAAAGTTATGGCCCTTGATCACATAGAAAAACCTTGTGGATGCTCTAGAGGCTAAAGTTATCATCCATGTTTTGCAAAGATATCTTTCAAGTTGTATTACGACTGTTATAGCTTGGAACAGTCTCGAGTGTTTTATTCTTTTAAACTTGGCTTGCAGAATTAGTTGATAATGATTTAGAGCTAGCATTTTGTTTTAAAAATGTAGTGAACCTACTAAATGTTATCTTATTTCTCTTGAAAAAATGTTTATATTTTGTAGTTGGAACTCGGTGTAAAACAAATCTAGGATGTGAACATTTTTGTAGTAGTCAAAGAGATGGTGCATGTAGCTGTCTGTATGGTTATACACTTGTTAATGGCAAACAGTGTTTACGTAAGTAATCTAATCAGTATTATTTAGTAGTCATAGCCCAGAATGGCTAGTTTTAAGTTTGATACCCTGCTTAACCTGGTGAGTTGTCTGGGGTTGTCAGGTATCATGTAAGAACTGGCAGTCTCACCAAATTTCCATGAAGGTAGAAGTTGCTTTACTTATGGGTTGATAACATTGCACACATTATTTTACTGCAGAGGAATAATAGGATTTTATTATATGGGAAGCCGAGAAATGAAAGTTATAATGTTATATGCATATGAAAATAATCAAATTTGTTCAAATTTAACAGAAACTTGTAAACATGGTAATGGGGGTTGTCAACATAAATGTTTAGATACACCACAAGGTCCAGTTTGTAGTTGTGCTGATCAATATAAACTTAAAGATGACAAGAAAACCTGTAGACGTAAGTTACCTTTTATATGCATATATCTGATCAGGGCTTATAATGTAATTAAGAACTGAACTCTGTCAAAACTTTTGCTGGGTGTAAGGATAAGTCAAGATGCCACATACCAGAACCTTTGCAGGCAAGTGCCTGTACTCAAATGCAAAGATTTACTTCCTGATTAAATATATAAAATTAAGATCCTTGATTGTTTTTTGAATTTTATTTGAAGCTAGTTGTGGTGTTAAGAATGGTGGATGTGAACGTAAATGTACAGATTTAACAGAAGGTCCTGTCTGCTCTTGTCCTAGAGGTTACCACTTACATCAAGATGGCCGCAGTTGTTTAGGTGCATATATCAAATTTTTTGTTTAATGCCAACACTTTATGTGCATGCATTATTTATTGTCTGTGGGGTTGGGAGATTTCATTGAGTCAAGTGGAGGGATTTCGATCCCAAGCCTGCACGTTACATGGAGTCAGGTTACCTGCTCAATTTCGTAGGTGTTCTCAAAACCGTTAAGTTTCCTCCCACTGCTAATAAAGATCCCTACGCACAAGCGAATTATTGAAATAAAATTGTAACTTATGTTAATCCCCTAAAGACCTAGTTTATGTCACATGGATATTTTTGTCTCCTTCTCTGCCTCCCCGCCGCCTCCCTCCCTCCCTAATTTATGTTAATCCCCTAAAGACCTAGTTTGTGTCACATGGATATTTGTGTCTCCTTCTGTGCCTCCCCTCCGCCTCCCTCGCTCACCCCCACCTCACATTACCTCTGTAATATTTAAATCTAAGAAAGAGTTTCTTCTAGTTTAAATTCTTCAACCTGCAGCCAATTAGTTTATCTTGTTTTTGTGTTATTGTTATCAACAGATATAGATGAATGTCGTGGAGGGAATGGTGGATGTAGTCATCAGTGTGTTAATACTAGGGGTAGTTACGAATGTACCTGTCCAAAAGGTTTCAAAGTAGACTATGATCAAAGATCATGTAAAGGTAACAACTATTTTACGTTATCTTATAAACGGTGGAGTTAAAGGGGCATTTGGTGAGATTAGATAAAGAGCTGACAGTTCATGCTATAATAGTTAGAAAATAGATAACAAAAAGAGAATATGCTGAAAATTTATGTCAAATTGCTTCACTCTGAACCAAGATATTAACGATTCAATTATAGGCTAGCCTTGATTGTCATTACTACCGTTGGTATGATAACAAACTAAGTTTCGATTATCAATTTTTACAGTTATTTCATCCATCACAAAAAGTATTCAAATCCACTAAATATCGCTGGCTTACGATGGCATCCATTTTTACAGTTATTTCATCCATCACAAAAAGTATTCAAATCCACTAAATATCGCTGACTTACGATGGCATCCAGAGTTGATTATGATCTTGATGTGTTAATTAATGTCCAATTAATAATTTAGATGACATTTAAGTCCTAAAGAAAGACCTGCAATAGGCAGATTTAGTTCTTGCGTAATGCATGTTTAAGTGTCCAAGTCGTCTGACTTGCACTGCAGATCTAAGGACTGTTGATTTATCCAAGTGATGGTTTTGATCACAAGCTTGTATATGACAAACAGTAGAATCACCTGCCTTAACCTTGTGGGGTTTCTGAACTCCGGTATCCCCCGACTTAAGTGAATTGTTGAAATAAAATAATACTATAGGCCTATTACAATATCGAAATGACCTAGTTGAATGTACATTAAAACTAATTTCCTTATGTCTCCCTTATATTTAAAAATGATTCTTTAGATCTGCAAAACAGACATGAAAGCTATCATACTTAACATCTCTTTGAAAATTGTGAAGATGATCATTCTTTTCTTCAACTACACAATTCAGACTTTTATGATTTAATTCTGCAATTTGATGTTTATGATGTTTATGGCATATTTCGTTTTTCCACTGTGTAATATATGAAATTTAAATGAAATATTAATTTCAGATATAAATGAATGCTCTGTAAATGGAACATGTGATCATATTTGTGTTAATAAACCAGGGAGTCATCATTGTGAATGTAGGAAAGGTTATCAGCTATATGGCGTTTCACATTGCTCAGGTAATCAGAACTTGATAAAAAATAATATAAGTTTAATTGGTAATAGAATGTTGATATTATGTATATGTATGATATATAGGCAAAGTCTACTATAAATTAAATGTATGATTAGTCAGTAAATTATTTATCAGAAATTTTGGGAAAAATACAAATTCACAAAATATTTCATACAGAGTTATCCCCCTTTAGTCTTCAAGTTTGCTCTTTATAAATGTAACAAAAGGACTGATATGTGAAATTTGCAAATCATGAAATAGAGCTCTGGTTTTTATAAACGATTGTATCAATTATTATAAATATTGTGCATTTATATTAATGAATTAGATGTGAATGAATGTTCTAATAACAATGGTGGATGTGAAAAGGGTTGTGAAAATTTTGATGGTGGCTATACATGTACTTGTGGTGAAGGTTATAAACTTCATCCTAATAATAAAGACTGTATTGGTTAGTATTATTATCTACTCATCAATTAATATACTCAATTCAAACAACTCAATACCTGTTGCTTGTTGTAAAAATATATGGATAGTCACACTGGAAAAAGCTCCCGGATACATTGATCGTCATATCTAGACTCATACAATATTATTTATTTTGGACATCAGTGATATATTTTCAAAGTGGTCTGTAGCCGAATATAATTTTGCAACTCATCTGCCAGTGACCCTTTCACTTCAGAATTGAGTAGCATATGATTCGAATTGAGTAGACTATAATGTGAATTCAGAATTGCGTAGAATAATATGATTTGAATTCAGAATTGAGTAGAATATGATTTGAATTCAGAATTGAGTTTTGAATCTTTACTAAAATAATTTCTTCTGATTATAATTATTTTACAAATCCCTACACGATATTTTTAATACTTTTAATTTATTAAAACTGTTCTCTGTTTTTGTAAATAGAATCAACACGATGTATTGATATCAAGACACCCGCTAAAGCTGATATGAGTAGTACTATATTAAGTGGTGGTAATAGACAAGTTATTATAGAATGCAAAGATCCTAGAGCCAGATTTACTAGTGGACATGTTGGTAGAGCTGTATATGAGTGTGGACGAAGTACTGATTACTTGTGGACTTTCGAAAAAGAAAATAAATCTTTAGCAACATGCTCAGGTTATTATAGTTTTTATCTCTTTAATTAATACTTCAATATGCCAGGTAATCTAAGGTACCCATAAAAATATGTTCCCTCTGAAAACAAGAAAAATTAAATGACAGACCTCAGATGCTTCTTAAGTCTGTAATCAGAGTAATAACAACAAAATTCTGTCTGTCACCTTGTAAAATGGTAGCCATTTGAATTATTAGGGTGGGTGGGGGGTCTTAAAATTTGTGGATTTGTTTGATTGGTCATATTTAATTTACAGTCAACTTACGATGACTCATCTGTTATCGACAAATCATCTGTTGTGCCATCTGTAGTCATGTCATCAGTTGTATCATTATCTGTTGTATCATCAGATGTCACACTATGTGTGGTGTCATCATCTGTTGTCTCAAGAGTTGTCACACTATCTGTTGTGTCCCCATCTGTTGTCTCTCTATATGTTGTGTCATCATCTGTTGTATCAAGAGTTGTCACACTATCTGTTTCCCCATCTGTTGTGGTCTCTCTATATGTTGTGATATTATCTGCTATGATCTCATTGGTTGTCACACTATCTGTTGTCTGGCTATATGTTGTGTCATTATCTGATATGATCTCATTGGTTGTCACACTATCTGTTGTCTGGCTATATGTTGTGTCATTATCTGATATGATCTCATTGGTTGTCAAACTATTAACTGTTGTGTCATCATTTGTCTCTTTATGACTAATCATTAACGTATATGGGGAGTCATCTTCTGTCGGCTCATCAACAATTATACAATCATCATCCGTTCTTTGATGATCTCGAGCTTCAATATCATGTTTTGTTTTATCATGTTCTATATAATCATCTGTTGCTTTATCTCCAGTTGTCTTATCATCATTTGACATATCTGTTGCCTCATTATAAACTGTTGGCCCTTGATGATCAAATACGTCTTTATATATATCATTTATTTTAATTTCATCTTCATTATCTGTCACATCACTGTATTTCTTATTATTTACTGTTCCACATATAAATGATACACCATCTACTGTATCATCAATTATCTCACTGTTAGTTTGTACATCATCTAGTTTTTGATCAATAATTGTCTTAACAAGTATAGTTCTAAAATCAGTCAAATGGTTAACGGTTGTCGAATCCAGTGTTGTCACATTATCTGTTGCTTCATCATCTATCAATCCATTATAATCTGATATCTCATCCCAAATTGTTGTCTCATTGTCATGTGTTGTCCCATTATCTGTTGTCTCAACATCAATTATCTTATGATCTGTTGTCTCATCTGCAAGTATTGTTCCATTATCAGTTGTGTCATCAATAATTATCCAATCAAATTCATTGGTTGTCCCATTTTTTGTTCCCTCAACTTCAAGTATTGTCCCATCATCAAGTGTTGTCTCATTATCTGTTATTGTTTTATCATCTGTTATTTCATCTTCACTTGTTATCTCAACATCTGATCTTTCATCGCCATTATCTGTTGTCTCATCATCAGTTATCAAATTATCTGTTGAATTGAAAATGATATAAGTTTTACAATAATTGATTCAATGGCATTTAGTAATTGAACTAGAAATACACAAGGCATAATTCTATTGAAAATTATTAGTTTATTACTGAGCCACGTTTTGACTAGCATTATCTAGCCTTTATAAAGCAATGATCATTAGACTATTTCATATCTGTGTTCTTTTTTGTATTTCAGAAACGAAATTACCACCCAGTTTTAAACGTAAAGCAAGATTTGTACTTATAATGGATGAATGTCATTTTCACGAGAAATCACTGGAATTATTAAAATCTAATTTAACCAGTCTACTAAATGGTATGTTTATGTCTATATCTTAATATGTTTTATAAAGTATATTATTTGTTTTCTTTTTCTTGATCATTTATTATCCTTAGGCATACTATTGAAATCTGTTTTCTTATTGTCTAATTTCAGAACAAAAAAAGTTTAAGTGTAGTAGAAAATGTAGTTTAAACTATTTACAAATGAATTGTGGGTCGCGTAGAAAGAAATTTCGTAGCTTGGTGAGAGGAACCTTTAAAAATCTAATAACAGCGGAATTTGAATTACAAATGGATTCACGGAAGTCAAATGGTAAGGATTTACACTCCATTAAAGGTTCGCGAGTTTAAGCCATTAATTGCTATTAATTCATGATTAAATGGAAGATTGTCAGAAACAATTTCTATTGACTATAAAAATAAGCTGCTTGTGTAATGATATCAATGGCGAAATTTGTGCTACATGTATGAATACTTAGATAATCCTATAGATGTTGGTATGGTCGTTGTAAAGATTTCAAGGGATCTTTTACCTGACAGTTACTATTGACTATAAAAATAAGCTGCTTGTGTAATAATATCAATGGCGAGATTTGTGCTACATGTTTGAATACATATATAATCCTATAGATGTTGGTATGGTCTTTGTAAAAATTTCAAGGGATCTTTTACCTAATAGCCTACTGAACTGAGCAAAAGGGATAAATGTAATAAGATTGGTAGAATTTTTGCTCTTTAAAATAATAGCATTATATTAACTATGGCTTTGACTAATTATTGGTTTCAAATTATAGAGAAGTCATATCTCACACATTTAAATTGAATGAGTCATGGGTTGACACATTAAAAGATTTATAAAACCAAAACATAGCTGACTCTGTGTGAAAACAAAATATCACCAGATCACTTATGGTAGGAAAATTACCATTGCACAATTTGGCTTAGTAACCAATCATTATCATTAATTACGTCATTTTTGACCAATTAGATAATTTAAAGGAGCAAAATCGCTAATATTTTGGACCTATAAATTGGCACAAATGGCTCGCAACACATATAATAATGTAATATGAATTTATATAAACTGTTTTACATTCAATCGTGTCCGTTTTACTGTGAAATGTCATCAGTTATGTATGGCGAATTACGCCAGAAGTCTCAACCGCAAATCAATTTCTAGCATCTGGTTATTCCAGTCAACACCGATATTATTAATTGCGCATGCTCTCCAAATAAGAACATGATATCACCGTTTGACATGACTTGTGGAATATGTCTAGCTGCATTCTTTGAGCACCTTGTTACAAACGGCGCTGAAACGCATTATGGTACACGATTCGTGTACCAATGGTAAAATGTTTATTTTGTCTCAACCGCAAATCAGTTTCTAGCATCTGGTTATTCCAGTCAACACCGATATTATTTATTGCGCAATCTCTAAATATGAACATGATATCACCGTTTGACATGACTTGTGAAATATGCCTAGCTGCATTCTTTGAGCACCTTGTTACAAATGGCGCTGAAACGCATTATGGTACACGATTCGTGTACCAATGGTAAAATGTTTATTTTGTCTTAAATATTGGATATCAGAAGCCCATCTTTTCCAGGTAAGATCACAACACCAATGCTAATTTAAATTCCAAAAAAAATCGTGTTTTCAATGTCGAAAATTTTGGATGATATTGAGTTACGGACTTAGCTACTTTAAAGCTGAAACCCAAGGGTAGAAAACCATCATAACTCTGGACGATAGACAGACAGCCGCCATACTGCCATAGGGATTTGTTTTAACGCCTGTCAATAAGGCTAGCAACAATATTTCTTTTAGCTGTAAAAAATACTATCTTAGGAATATTCTTACTGAAGTTGGAATTTGACCCAATACCAAAAATGACACTTATAAATGCATTACGTATTTAACGAAACTAGATATTTTACATAATCAGCATACTTCAACAGGAGCAATGATATTAAAGATAATGTTAAAGTAGATGCACTACTTTACATTTTTTTAATACCTAAATTGCATAAAAACCCAGTAAAATTCTGGTACATAATATCCTCCAGCAACTGCCAAACAAAACCCTTGGCTAAACCAAGGGACTTAAATTATGCCAAACCCAACATGCCATTTGGTGCAGAATAGTTATTTCAGAATTGATAAAAACAAACCTATCAGAGAAACTTTAAATGAAATTAATGCTAAGTCAACAGAAAAATTAGATTTTTCTACTTTGTAGACTATGCTTCAACATTCAGATCTTAAAGAAATTTGGATTGGTTTGTGGATAAAACTTTTAATGGACGTTGATGGCCATTTACTCAGAAGATGCTAAATGGAGTATAAAATGTCGGAATGCCGACACTGTGTTTTTTGACAAAGAAAAGTTCCAAAACATTATACATTTTCTCATTGATAATGCCATATTTGAGGTTGGGGATCAGATAATACAGTAAACAATTGGTTTACCAATGGGAACTGACCCCACCCCATTTATGGCAAATACACATTTATATAAGTATGAATTCTGCTTTCAAGATCATAAAAGAAAAACTGATTACCAAGTAGCTAAAGTCTAAACTATACTTTCTGCTACATTGATGACATAACACCTATCAATGATAACGGAACTACATGTATATAGAAGTGAGATATATCCCCTGAACTAATATTAGATAAAGAAAATTCTGGCACTATAACTGCTTCCATTCTTGACTTGGATATTAATATAATTAACAGTAAATTTAATGTCCGTATTTTCAACAAAACAGACAAATTTGGCATCGAAGTGGTAAAATAACTGTCAATTTATAGTAACATACCAGATGTCATGCAATATAATGTTTTTTATTCACAGGCATTACGATTTTTAACAATATGTAATGATGAAGAACTATTTCTTTCTAGAATAAAATGTCTTTACTTTAAGTGCACTGCCAAAGGCGGAACACAATTATGTATTTTAAAAGAAATTTCGAAACTTTCATTTCTTTAACATATCAAGTTTGACATTTCTTAAAAGTATATAACCACCTACATATTGGATAATAATCTAATTGAATAATTATTTTATATTTTCTGCAGTTTCCTAATTTTATTTGGGTTATCGCCCTTATTTTATGCCTTTATATGAATACACTTTCATAGTACGATTTCTTCAACATACCTGGTTTGCATTTTTGATAGGTGAATTACCTATTATATACTCTTCAAAAAAAAGTAGGGGATATTGAAATGCAAATACCTATGCAGGTTGTGATATGATAAATAGTCATGGACTCTTGACATGCTTTGAGAATATGTTCACAGATGAAAAACTTACCGCCCCAGCAGAACCACTGAGCTGCATGTGCAAAAAGCAATAGCGCCATACACATGGGAGGGGTTCATTGTCAAATTTGACACTTCAAGAAAGGGTTGATGAAAACTACCTCTTGCTGGTTTATCCTATCCATGTTTGCTTTCCTATCGGTTCTTGCATAAGATTTACTATTTAGCGTATCTTTGCTTTAGTGTGTTAAGTTTAATTTGATCGGAAGATGTGTTTGTTGACGTCAACATCAACCGACAACACTGCAAGAATTGGCCGTAGCACTGCAAGAGGAGTTGGTCAGATTGCCCCAAATCGTGATTGGACGGTTGATAAGGAGCATGCCACGAGGAATTGCTGAATGTCTGAGGATTGGTGGAGCAATTACTCATTATTAGGACAAAAATCAAAAACGTCCATTTTCACTTTTGACGGCGTATCTCTTTGCGAGTGAAATGGGGCCGCCAGATAAGCCGCCCATATGAACTATTTATGTTCATGTGTAGGCAGTTGGCCTGTTATTAACATACACTGGTTACCTCTAATAAAAACAGCAATGCATTTCCGAAGTTTTGTATTGTTTCTGAATATCCCCTACTTTTTTTTGAAGAGTATATTTTGTGCAATCACATAGCTGAATAATTCCGATTATTTCCTAAATTGATAGTTTATTAACCTTTTGACGTTGTCTTATCTGGATTATCACCCATTTTATTATTGGTTTTTATCACATTTAACTCTTGATGTCATTTGGCAGACTACCGCCTTTTACTTCACATCATTCAGTCAACAAACAACTGTCTTCGACACAGATTGCACTTTCTTCATTTCCTTCTTTGTATTCTGTATGCCCTAACTTTGTAGTCAATACACCTAAGTTCTTTTGAACACTTAAAATATTTCTCACTATAACATAGACCATTTAGTTTAGACTACCTGGCTTTTTTATAGGTACCCCAGTTGACTCAATGACAGACCTTATAAACATTTGAAAAAAATGCAGGTATATTAAATAATAAGTTAGGGCATTAGTCCTTATTTTTATAAAACAGAGAAAACCTAGCACAGAATACTTGAAAGAAGCAATTGGAATGATGCAATAAGTCTTGAAAGCTGTTGATGATATCGAATATTGATATGGTACATATATTTTATATTGTGTAGGTAGATGTGATGATGATTGTATGACTAAACGAACACAAAGGAAACTGAAAAAAGCCATAAAAGCTCTTAGAAAAACTATTAAAAAAGAGAGATTTTCTATCAGGTTAGTAAATCTTGCAATCCTAACTTTAAGTTATGGCCATTTAAATCTGTCTTTGATTTCTATTAACTTCATAAATTCTGCTATCTTTTTCAAACAAGCCAACCCAGTCCTCATGATGTTTTCTTTAATATTCCAATGTTTTTGATTACATAATAATTACAGTGTTTATATTAAAATAGTACATATTTTTTTGACTTTTGAGAAATATTTGAATCTGCTGGTTCTGCCTTTCAGAGGACTCAAAAAAATATATACCCTCCACATGTAGTTGTGCTCAAATTTATCATTATCCATCAGGTTTCCTGACTTCAAAGTCCTTCTGAAATGTTACTCCTCTACCACCCAAAAAGTGAATATTAGAATATAAAGACAGATATAAACTAATTTGGCTACATAAAAAAATCAATCCACTATTGTCGTTATCTGTATTGCACCTGTAGCAAACAAGAGCAAGTGTTCAGGTATTATTTAGTGGTCAGATTCTAAAAAAGCTACGAAATTGACTTTCAGTGATAGGTTAAAAATGTAATTTATAATTTTTTTTACATGGCAGGTATGAAGGTATAGATTATGATGTGATAAAAAAATCTTTTAAACCTGATAAACAAGTCTATAAGGCATGTAGTACTGGAAATGTTCTTGTAGGAAATTTATGTAGTAAGTAAATTTATAATCATTAAACATGTCTGTAGAAATTGTCATACATTGAATTGCTTGATATGATGAAAAGAACAAAATACCATACATTGACACTGAGAGAGAGAGATGTGATTTGATGTCCACTGCAGACACTAACTAAGTCTTTATGGGACTCACATAATATTTGGTATATCTTCCTATCTTCAATAATTTGCTTGCGCAACCCTACTCAAACGCTACTACAAACCCGGATTGAACACACGACTTGTATAAATAACAGGCCTAATCAGAGGCGTAGCCGTGAAATATATATTGGGGGGGTCCGCAACCCTAACCCCTAACCCTATTTTAAAACCCCTAAAAAATATAAACAAACACCATGTGGCCATGCTGTCTACACAACTCGTTTGCTGATTGGCCCACCGCGTGCAAAGTATTATGGTTACGTGGCTGGCTGAGCGGGCGATAAATATTTGGTTTAGGCGATAATGTTTTGGGTAACTACATGCGATTCACTGTGATAAGTGGCAGAAAAAAATTAACTAGACACAATTTTATGGAACACAGTTACTTTTCACTTCACACATGTTTCCAGGATGATTCTCTCTGTGTTTTATTTTAGCAATGTAAACCATATTTCATTTTGATCTTTGCTTTAAAATAAAAGATTAATTATTTGTAATTAATATTTGAAATATTTATGTTCAGTTGCTTGTAGTATTGGTACATATCATGATATAGAGAAATCAAAATGTCTGCCATGTCCAAGTGGAACATATCAAGATGATGAAGGTCAAGATAAATGTAAACAATGTCCATCTAAAATAGCTGATTCTGGAATGGTTGGTGCCAGCAACACAAGACAGTGTATTGGTAAGTTGTGTTAGAACAAGTTCCGGTAAATGTATATTTGTGATACCAATTAGAGGCTCTCAACCTTCCATAAAATTAAAAGCTTCAAGCATGAGTATCGGTAGATTATTAAAATACCAACACTGCCCTTATACAGCCCACAACCATCTAGCTTCATATATACATCTATCTATGGTGACCCTTAAATTCATTACATTGTTTTTATGTTTCAGATTTGTGTGAGCCAGGTTTTTTCTCTGGGGATGGATTTAAACCATGTAGATCATGTGAATTAGGAACATATCAACCTAGTTATGGACGGACATCTTGTATGTCTTGTGGCGCTGGTATTATGACTAGAACAATAGCATCCAAACATTTTAAAGATTGCATTTCAAGAGGTTGGTTTTACCATTCTTAATGTATTTCAGAGTGATTTATTTTGCCCTAACAACACTGTGCGGGACCTTAATGCTCTTGGAAAATAATCTTGACAAACTTACATAATATGTTATTGTTGTCCATTATGTTATTGGTTGATATTTAGTGGTAGTCTGAGTCCAAGATCAGTTTTGATACACTGTAAAGTTGATATCGTTCACTTATGAACACATGGCTTTTACTATTGAAAATATCTGCTGTAAACAGATCTAGTTGTCTTTTTATATGCATACTGTTTTCTAGTCAGTTAAAATGGTAAGTATATAATCACTACCGGTAATACTATCAGATGATATTCATTTTGAGGTTTTAAGGTTTAACATGATACAACAGTTACTTTCATTTTCATTTCTCTCCTTGGGTCTTTTAAAAAAGTGATTATAAATGGCTATGACTATCATTTATTGTTGTCTAATAATAACATCCTATATGCAGATTAACCATTGTGGTATCAATTCTGCTTTTAATGTCACTGTGTCTCCACGCCATCCATAGACAAAATAAGAGGCCATTTGGAATTTTATTTTCTAACTTACTATATTTCAGATTATTGTTTATCTGGGTATTTTTATGATATTAGTGTACATAGATGTGTGAAATGTAAACAAGGAACATATCAACCAGAACCAAATCAGAATTTCTGTCTAGCTTGTCCGAGTGGTACAACTAATGATTTTGCAGGTTCTAAAACTAGTGAAGAATGTAAAAGTAAGTCTTGTATCCAAAACATTTTTAAAAAAATAAAACTATGTGGTACTCTGACTCTAACTACATAATGTGGCCCGCTGACATCGTATCATATAATGTGCTACTCGCATACTGAACCAATGATGTCAAATGGTGTCCTGAAATGAAATGAAATGAAAAATGGGGTTTAACGTCCTACTGTTTTGCTCCGAACTGGGCTAATGAAGACGGGCATACGCCATACAGTGTGCTATGAGGGAAATTTTGCTCGGACAGCGGTACTACGGCCTACTCTTATATCGAATTCCAACTGTCAAGGGATCTTTTACGTGCACGCCAATGTGTACACACGGGACCCCGTTTTTTTCGTCCCATCCGAACGACTAGACAGCTGTCCTTGTTAGCCCCTCCGTCCTGCATCACTGACAAGGGAGAACCACGCCGGAAAATCTGGATGAACTTTCTCAGCCAATGCAGGGATCGAACACCCGACCACCAGGCTAGCGAGCCAGCGCCTTACCTACTCAGCCACCGTGATCCCCAAAATGGTGTCCTACTCTGACATCCAATCTAATGTATTGAAGTATAACAAGATGATAATCGATAATCTAGCTCCTTTCTCTAGTTATCTTTACAAATATTTGTGAATTTAAAGAATTGAACATTTTTAAAAGGCCTGGTAGTAGTTCAATGGCATTGAGTTTTGGCATACGAAAAGGATTTTCCCGTTGCAGCTTTAGTAGTTGTCATTATCAATTAAGATTATGTATTGTTTGTATTTTAGACCGTAGATGCGGTGGTTACAGAGGTCGGTATCAAGGTGTAATAGAAACTCCCAACTATCCCGGTAATTACCCAGTCAATGTTGGATGTACATGGAAAATAAAACCTGAGAAACAGAGACGTATTTTGATCATTATACCCGAAATACATTTACGAGCTGAAGATAAATGTGGTGACAGATTAGTGATACGTAAATCGAGTAAGTTCAACATAGACCATTTAATCAGTAGAGATATGTCAAATCGATTATGGAATACAAATTAAGATTTTGAATTTTAACCTAAATTTTCTTTTTTGGGGCATATGCAAACTAGACATAAGTCAAAAGTTTAAGTATCAAACTTAAAAGAAAATTTGAACTACCTGCACTATTAATTATCAATTATTTCTATTTCAAAATATTTATAGTCATAAAATGTTAGGATTGAGAACTGTGAATTGACTTTGGTTTATTTGATTATCGGTATTATTTGATATAGTTTTTAAATGTTTTTTTTTTATTTCTAAAAGAATCACAATACAGTCCATCAACATTTGAAACTTGTGAGAGTCAAGAAAAACCAATAGCATTTACAGCTAGATCTAGAAAAATCTGGATAAATTTTAAATCCAATGGTTATAACACTTCAAAAGGTTTTTCTATACCGTTTGTTACATACCATGGTAAGTGTAGCACTACTTTAATTTTCCCACTAGGTTACAAAAAAAGGGGTAGAATGGGGGAGAATTCATGCTAGTTGTTTTATATGAAATGATCTGATGTGTTTTCCTGAAATTCCTCTGACTGCTGAGGTCGTCCCATATTCTGTTATTTGAGGTAAATTTTTTAGGTGGCGGGCGTAATTATGAGATCCAGTTCCATGGGAAATCATACCCCAATGTTTTTAAAATAATTTCAGTTGATGTTTTTTCAACACATCAGATTTTCGGCCATTAATAAAAACCTGACATTGCTGATGTTAAGCTAGGAAATAGTGTTACAATATAAATATTAATCATATTGGATGTTAAGCTGGGAAATCGTGTTATGATATAAATATTAATCATATTGTATAAATATTATTTTGTAGAAGAATATCAGACATTAATAGAAGATATAGTACGAGATGGTAGATTGTACAGCTCTTATCAACATCAACAAATATTTAAGGTAATTTAACAAAAACACCAGAGATATTTTGTTCCCTCATTCTCTCAAAACTGTCAGCATTTTTCCATACTTTTTATCAAGAAATTTTCCCTATAAAATCTGAATCAGTAACAGGTCAAGACTGAATAGACAAGATGCTTTAAATTATATAAGTGATGTTACCACAGAATTTTAATAGTGATTGTTCCCTTGAATGTTGGAATGTGATAAAAGCATCCTAACATCAAATGAACAATTGAGTCATCCCTAGTTCAGATCCTGTTTAAGAACAGTTTCCACTTGTACGAGTATGGTCTGCCTTGGTATAAATAAGTTTGTGGCCTTTGCATATAACCGATTATGATAAAAAAAGAAGGCTCGATCATCAACATCCAAAGTGGAAACAGAAATCATTGAACTGAGAAATGTCTAATTAACGAAAAAGCCACAACTACAAAATTAATAGGTTGACATATGTACAAAGTTTTGCAGAAAGATCTTGAGTCATTCCTGGGGTATGTTCTGGAAACAGAGCTTGGACAGATGGGAAAATAAAGCTCATTTCAGTATTCCTCCCATTAAGATCCTTTGGCCTGGGATAAAAAAAAATAATATTAATCTATAAATGTGTTGGCACGATTTTAAGCATCAATTTTCAGTTACGGAACAACTAAATTTAGAAAATGCATTTTTATTTCAGGATCGGAAACTGCTGAATGCTTTGCTAGAAGTAATAGCACAACCATACAATTATTTGAAATATGCCAACGTATCTCATACAATGTTCCCTCAATCATTCTTTAGACTTCTGACACCAAAAGTGAGACGATTTTTCTCCACATGACCAAATACAATCAATTTGAAGGGATGGAGATGAGAAACCAGGAGTAAAGAAGGATAAACAAGGACAATATTTGCCATTTTGTGTGTTTGTTGTTATGCGCCTGCTCTAAGTAGGATAAATTTTGGCTTCATGTAATGAAATCAGACATTTTAAACATACTACTATATGATTGTAGTTAATGTTAATGGTGCCATGGGAGGACATTTCTATAGAATAAAGTTATTTAGAAGTTATACTTGACCAACAGTCCATTTTGTTTTTCAATGTGAATTTCAAAATGGCTGACAATGTAGAGTGACCCGATCTTCTGGATGTGAAGAGTAATGAAAATGCTGCTTATTATATATTGTGCTATATGATTTTATTGAGGACAGTAAAAAGGACTGCCATTAGAGTTTATATTGCGGTTGATATTATTATAATATATGTTATGCTCTCATTTTTCTGCTACAGTCTATAGAATTGCTTTTAAATCAACATTTATTTTATATTAAATCAAGACTCAACAAATAAAAAAATATATTATAAAAACTTTTGAATATAAAATGCATATTTTAATCCAGTACTGTTGTTTTAAAATATAATAAATACATAATATTTCTCTACAAAAGCATATACCTCAGCCCACTGAAGCATGATAACTAAAAGGCTATATATAATAAAAAGGTGGAATTTTTATTTCAACTGAATATTACATGTATATGATCTAGCAGAGTTAAGAAAATAAACATCACTTCTATATTTGGAGCCTACCGGTAATTCTTCATTCTCAATCACCCACATAGTATGCTACTAGTCGGCATGAATAGAAGACTGGGAGATCTAGATTGATGGGAGAATAAATAAAATTGAATCCCAAAATTGAGGTAAATTCAAACAGTTTTTCTCAAGGTATATATTTTCTATCTTGTAGGACAAGATTTTAATTTTTTTTTTTAAAAATCAGCACTCTAGTATATTTTGAAGTACAATCTTTTATGTTAGGCCTATTTTAGAATTTCTGTTGTAACTTGTCCATTTTTTTTCCTCCATATTTATATTACATAAAAATGTGTTTTACTATCAGCTAGTGCTATTATTATACATAATGAATAAAATTTCTTTAGTTTAAATATGTATAGTTCCATTATTGTAAATAGTTTTACTAGATGGTATACTGAGTCAGCACTGCTGGTCTACTGTAGTTTTGTTTCAAATAGCACACAAATAAACCTTATTGAGTTGGGTTAATCGGATGTGTTATATTGATCAATGAACGGACAAGCTCTGTACAATTACATTTTCATTTCAAAAGATTAGGTTTCCTAATTTTATTTCTGTTTTTGTCTTAAACTGTCAACTTTTCAACACAAGATCAATTATAGGTACATGCAAAGTTTATCAATAGTGGTATGGGAATCATACTAAAGAGCTGATATTAATTATTTTAGTTTTTGGAAAATATATTACCATAAACTTTAGGGCTGACACAATATATTTTTTTAATCGATATATTGCAATTCTGAATCAATACTTCACAATACCTTTGTCTTCTCTGAAAAACGACCTTTAAATTATGCCTTACTAATTAGGAGTCTAAAATAATAACAACTCAGTAGATACTGTTCAGCAACCTGAGATGTTCCCTATAAATGGACCAACCGTAAACACTTCCATTTCCGTTAGTTAGGTCTATATGGTAACATTTCGTTCTTAATATATTTTTAGTCATAGTTATTAAAACAAATATTAAAAATGGTAGTTTACTGTATAATATTGTGGATTTAGATATCGCCAAATATAACAGAATATAGCTCCTCTAAAAATCAATGACTAACCCTCAAGCTAATGCAAATCAAAGGTTTGGAAAAACTATGTTTTTTTTTAAAGGTGACACAATAAAAGTTGTTTGTAGAATATGGAAAACTGTTCTAAAACATGGAGGCAATCCGACAAATCTCACCACTCACATCAAAAGCACTACACTTCCGACTTGAAAGTAGATCGAGATCGTTATCTAGAGTCGATATTGTGACCTGGTTATGAATCAGGTTGTGAATCGTATCACAGTCATGATACCCACAGCACTAATAAATTCATCCTTCTTCTAAATATTGTAGACACTTTTGTAGCCAGTTAACAGCAGATTGCAACTGTTCACAGGGTAACTGATCTTGAAGTTCTTGTAAGAATCCAGCCATAGCTTTATATCGCTCTAACACATTAAATCCACAACATTTTTGAAGCTTTCGTAAACAAACTGGACATAAAAACAAGGGTTGTGTTACAGCTTCTTCTATAGAGTTACTTTCATTCATAGCACAATGAAAAAATGTACAGTGTTGAAATCCTAGCAGATGACACGTCTCATGACTAATTATCTGAAATACAATTTTACAATCATTAAATATAAACAATCATTTTACAATGAAAGCTAACATTATCACATGAGAGAGAGAGAAATGGGGTTTAACGTCCAATCGACACAAACTAGGTCATTTCAGGACTAACATTGTTCAATTTTATTTTAATAATTTTGCTTGCACATAGGGGTTTTTCGCAGCGGGAGGAAACCTGAGGACCTGGAGAAAACCCACAAGGTTGGACAGAACACGCTACTCCTTGTCATTTACAACCAGGGAATCGAAACCACGCCAGTTGACTCAAGGACAGATCGTATGATACAGTGTGCACGTGCTAGCCATTCGACCATCCAACCCCCCACCTTAACACAATCTACACTTAAATTTAATAAAATGCATGTATAAGCTTGTTTTGGGTGTACGCATATATGTTTCCACCATATATTTCACATGTTGTCCTCATAAAGAAAATATAAGCAAATAAGTTTCTTTTACTATACTGATAAGGTAAAGGGATTAAATTTTATGCCAGAATCTAAACAAGATAAGAGCTGTATTTAACACAGGGTAGGATGAAAACCAAGGTCCAGTTTACAGATTGACATGCACATAATTTGACCCTTGACAGTTGGAATTTGATTGATGAAGACTAGGTTTTTGTCCACATTTTTGTCTACCGGTACTTCCATATCCATATCAGTAATATCACCATTTAAAGTTAAAGTTGCCCAATATATTGCATGTAGTTACTCAAATTTCATAGTAAAATACCATAAAACGACACATAAAAAAATATATTTTTGTTTTGTAACCCTGACTTTAATCTGACTTACTCTTAATAATTTCCATATCAATAATCCATCTACTTCTTTTATATCTTGGTGAGTTTCTTTATCAAATCCTTTAGGCTCATATCGTCCAAAACAAAACATGGCAGACTTGTGAACAGCTGAACTTTCTCCAAGAACAAAATTAAGATCATCTTGTGGATAGAGATCGGTCCATGTTAATCCTAATATACATAATCCATTTGAAGGTATTAATCTCTGCAGATATGGGAAGAAATCGCCAACATAATATTGTTTTTGTTCTGTTACTGAATGGTGTCGGGATCTTATCTGGAAAATATAAGCAGTTATTGGGCATGTGTTAAAATTTACTTGAACAACTCATTCTAATATATATGCAATGAATAAAAGCCAAGGATTGATTGGTAAGAAATTCAAGAAATAGTTTAACTAAATATTAAACAAATAATTTGTACATCGTGTTTCTGGTCTTATAATTTTGAAGAAAGGAATGGAAAAGGGTTTAATGCCTATCAATTCAATACTTCCATCATGACAATCATCATAGTAAGACAAAAGATATGGTAATGAACATAAGAAGTACAAAAATCAATCCTAACTGGTTGTCCAGTAACAAAATCCCAAAGACAAACTGAGCCAATCAAATTGCTTATCACTCTACTTAGCCTAAGCAGAGAATACTCATGACTGAGTAAAGTCGTTTTAATGCAGTGAAACTATACACCAGGTTGCACCACTCACACTCTATTAGAATCAAAGTAATTGGGCTGGAATAATCAAATTTCTTATCACTCTGCTTTACCCGATGTAATGGAAGTATACAACAAGCTTCATCATACAATTAGAAAAAACGTTTGAGTGTCATAAAGTATCAACCAATCAAATTCCTTATCTCTGCTTTAAGCCCAAACAGAAATTGCTTATCATTCTGCTCATTATCAAACTCCATCAAACCTTGATGATCAAGGCGTTCAATTAATAAACAACTATTCTAGCTCTATTAGAAACAGACTGATAGACATAAAGATGGACGGACCCATTTTAATAGTCCTCTGCTTTGTTCAAAATGCAGAGACAAGAAAATAACAAGTAGACATTCTAATTAAAAAAAAATGAAGTGCTTGCTTCACACCTTTTGTCTTTGCAAGCCTATATTAAGCATCGGTTGGTTTCTAACAACTGATTATTTTAATGAACTTTCGTTTGCATGAGTGTTAAGAACATCAGCTAGTGATGTAATGTACTTGGCTTGTTTTTAATGCAGGGCAGGTATATGTAAAAGGGTAAGCACAAGTGACTGAGAAGAAATACATTTACCTGCCACTGTTTGTCCTTGATGTTAACTTCAGGTAAAACATGGGAATCAAAACCGCTGAAATATATCTGACAAAAACTTTGAAGCAAACTAAACAATGTTAACTCTAGTCTCTTAGTCGTCAAACGGAAAATTTTAATAAATTCTGGGAATTCATCGATTGGTTGAATGTATATTATTGTCTTAACAGGTGCACAAAAGGCATACACATTCTGAACATCTCTGACACTTCTCCATTTTACATAAGTCTGTCCAGAATATAATGGCTGAGTTAATTTCAAAGGTCTAAACAATCGGAAATCTGGATTCTGAAGATCTGCAAGATTTGTAGCTTCTTGAAATTTTAATTCTGGTTCGTTACCAAAAGGCAGCCTTGCAACTGATGTTGTTAAGCACTCTTTTCCCAAATTAAACAATTTACGAGCAGAAGGCGCTAGTTTTTGAATGTCACCTAGTAGATACTGAACATTAGAAGTTGATGATTGGTCTCCTGTTGCTGAGATCTGTTCTGTCGGATTTGATGATGTTGCTCCCATTTTCTTATATAATCAAAATAAACTAAAAGTAATAGATACCAATTCAAATCAATTTCATTTAATTTTATGTTTATATTTTATTACATTTTTACAACATAGGTCTATATGTCAAATCTTAGGCCTTAAAGAAAGCCTGTAATTTTCATCGAATAGCAATGTAACAGGTTGATAATTTTCTCCCCTGTGACTGTTCCAAATTGCCACACTTGGACACAGACACATATTAACTTAAAAACATTTTGATATTTAGAGGAGTTATCAATCATGTAACCCAGTGTTTTTTCCTAGGGTATAGACATAATTATTTCATAATAATGCATTTTCCGATAATCAATTTTTAATACAGATTTAATGGTATCTGTTTAAAATAATAATTTTACATTTATAAAAGTATGAAACTATTGAAACTAGCCTGTTTTTTTGAGGAAATTGTCTGGAGTCACACAACAATGTCCAATATAGAAATGAAATGAAATGGGGTGTAACATCCTACTCTTCTGCTCTGTCTGGGCTAATGAAGACGGGCATATACCCCATATAGCCTACAGTGTGCTATGAGTGAAATTTGACTGGACAGCGGCGCGCATACGGCCTATTCTTATATCGAATTCCAACTTTCAAGAGATCTTTTACGTGCACGCCAATACATGGAACCTTAATTCAATTAATTGGTTTTTTTTCCCATCTAAACGACTAGTCCTTGTCAAGCCCTCCGTTCTTTCACCACTGACATGGGGAAACCATGTCGGAAAATCCTGATGAGCATTCTCGGCAACCTCCAGATTAGCGACTCAGCGTCTAACCTAGTCCAGCTCTGCTGAACGTAGGTCTCTAGGTCTCTTAATTTACAGTCGACTGTAAAGAGACCTACGTTCAGAGCTGGACTACGTCTAACCCACTTAGCCACCTTGGCTCCGTCCAATGTGTAGACCTAGTAAGCCTATGCCATGTCATGTGTTTAACTTTAAGAAAAAGGTTTAATAAATATACTCTAGGCCTACTAACTCTTGTATATTCTTCCTTTTTAATTATTATATACATGCGTTGGCTATCCTACTTCTAATCAATTTATATCAAATGGTAACCAAAACTATAGTTGTAAATTTGTGAAGTTTAGTCACACTGATATTTTATCAAGCTATTTTTTGCTGATTTAATGTCTAATAGTAGTCCGGCAGATAACTGAAATGAACTAAATTCAGCCTTGTTTAACTGGACATTCAACGTATATTGACAAACCAGGATCTGTATCAACAAACGTCTGGTTCATCTAAACAAATATAGTGTGGGAGTTATCTAACCGGAAACACATGTTGTTGTTTACAAATGGCGACAAGATTTAACATGAAAGTTAAATTTTTGACAAAGTGATAATGATTAGGCGACATCGATTGACTAAAAGTAAGTCATTTACATCACTTTGTTTTTGTGATCTTAACTGATGGCAGTCTATACAAATATTTTGGATTTTACCTGATCTTATTTCATTTACCGGTAGGCCTAATATGTTACAGGCATTGCCTGAGTAGAGCGAAGCTGATAATTGCCAAATAAAACCTTCATAATTAATTTTCTCAAGTGATACAAAAAATGTTAAATAATATAGTTTTTCAAAATTGATTTTTATTTAGATCTAAATTTTATACATTAATTTTGTTTTTTAAAAAAGAACAAAAAAGTGTGAGAATTATTTTCATTGACATAAAAAATATGTGACGTCATTGGTTAGATGCGTCATAGAAATAGTTCGATGAGGCGCGTAATCTCGCTTGGGCGAGATTTGTTGTGTAGAATTATTTTTGTTAGTTACGTCATAGACATGGTTACGTGATCTCGTTTGGTCGAGATTTGGTAAGTTGACATGCACATTGCCTATTTTGCCCAGATATCCGGTTCCGGTCTGAAATTTTTTTTAATCAACAGTCTGTGGGTGACATTTTTAATTACGCTCCTGTGTTACCGGAAAAGAGCTTCGCTCAAGCACCGCGCTTAGAGCTTTGCTCTATACTACTGAGACTACTGATCCCGATTTTTTCAACCCCGGACGGCGGAGTTACTCCATCTCCAGGGCGCCCGGTACAGTGAAACTGATAGTGGCCAATTTTGGCCGTAAACAAGCAATATTTAAAGATATGAAAATTCATTTCAATTAAATGGCACTGGGCTTCCTTTTTTGTGGTTATAGTTTTAAAAAGTCACGAATTTTCCTTTCACTCCTAAAAAAAGAGGTACCGGTAACCCAATTTACCCAAAGCCATACAAATCTTAGAAATCTACCAATATTCCAACTTATGTTTCATTATTTGAACACTCCTTGTATGTTACATTTATTATTTTGTAGAGATCAGACCACAGTTATTCTCATCAACATTTCATAGCAGATGACTCCGATGATCGAGTGTACCTAAGTTATTACTTTCAAGCTGAGGTGCTCCGCTTACTGTTAAGCTTGCTGATATTTTGATTAGAGTAAGAGCATACGATAATTAACTGACTGTGTTGCACTAGAAATGGTTCCACTATTGATTGCATGCACCTGCCAACAGATATCATAAAGCCCACAATAACTGTCTGTGTTGCACTAGAAACGGTTCCACTATTGATTGCATGCACCTGCCAACAGATATACTAAAGCCCACGATAACTGTCTGTGTTGCACTAGAAATGATTCCACTATTGATTGCACCAGCCAACAGATATATAATCTAAAGCAAACTATTTTTAAACTACATGTTCTGTCTGTCCAAATACATTTTTACGGCTAGGCTTTTTACCAGAAGAAACCCTGGGAAGTACGTACAGCTTTACAATTAGTTTTTGCAAAAAATATTAATTTTTTAGTTTGTTCAAATATCGTTCTTTTGTAAATCAAAATTTCCCTGAAACACTTTTTGTGAGTTTATCTTTTGTATGCCACACATCTTGAATCTTTTTTTTGATTAAGTTTGTACATTGTTAACTGCATTCAGTAATGTCAGTCATAATTAAGATTTTATATTTCAGAAGCCAAAGTTAGTTTGTTTAAATGGAGAAGATAAGGAAGTGAATTGAAAAACTTGTATGCTAATGTACACTTCAGGATCAAGAAATGGCTCACATCAAAACCTATGCTAGAATCAAACCAAGCTGTCATCTTTTTGAAGGTTTTGAAATCTCACCTAAATGGCTATCTCTACATGTTCCAGAATTATCACATGATTATGGAAGTTCTCCTGGAAAAGTCAGAGCATCTATTGGTTATGATTTTCAATTTCATCATGTTTTTGATATAGATTGTACTCAGGATGACATCTTTGATAATGTGGCTAAAGATATTGTTGAAGGTATTGTTTACTCATTATTTCATTATTGCTCAGTGGTTGAGCGTCTACATTAATTTCACTGTAATTAGATTTTTAGTTTTAATTGAAAATTTACATTATTTGTAATGTATCCTTGCAGATCATTCTTAATTATCAATGTCAATACGTACAGTATACAATGTAATTAGAACTTACCATCATTTTCTCAATTCAGGATTTGTTAATGGATATAATGGAACAATATTTGCATTTGGACAGACTGGGTCCGGTAAAACATTTACTATGGAAGGTGGATCACATAGTTATAGAGATCGAGGAATAGCGCCAAGGTTGGTATCTTATTTATTTCAAATATACAAGGCAAATGTAAATTTCTGCAATAAATGAAATGTGGTACTAGGGTTTCCATATATTGAATAGGAAGGTTCAGTACACCTAGTAATAAAAACACTAATTTGGAAAACTTAAAGTTGGTATTTGACAATTAAATACACAAAAGTTTTTCTGAAATTCCAATATTTAAAAGCCTTGTTATTTATTCTTTAGAATAACATATAGTTGGTAACAAATAATTCATTGTAAATTTAATGGTTGTACTAGATTTATGTATAACAGGAAAGTTTAAGTTTTAAAAAATCATATTAAAATGTTTCTGAGTTAATTCCCTTATGCTAAGAAGCTGCTGGTGAGAGCTCTGTCACATTTGTTGTATCTTCACAGGTTATATGAAAGTGTGTTATTATGAAATTTGGCATGGATTTGCATACATGTAAGATACCTGGGAAAAAAATGGATTGATTTATTACCAGAAAATTTCATCAACTTGGGAGAAATATGCATTCGAAATATTGACAATAGCGATACAGTGATCATTGTTTATCTAGTATGGTGACTTATCTAGTGAGGAGTTACTCGCTTAAACAACACAGTCCTTAAACTTAAACCTGGAGTATTAACATTATTATGTTTCTGAACATTAACTCTGTTAAACCAACCAAAAGAAATAGGAGTGGTGGAAAAAAAATTCACAGCCAACCTCAATAGCCTGAATACTGTTGAAGAAACACCCAATGAATCTGGGTTAACATCTGTCAATAACGATAAGTTGGAACTTTGTTTGTTAAACTCAAGATCTGTCAGAAAAAAATCAATTGAATTGAATCAGAATATTTTATTAGATGAATCCATAGACATATTGTTAATAACTGAGGTGGTGAATTAGCAATTATCTTCAGACAATCACTATCTCTGAAACAGTTTAATAGCAGTGAAATCAATTCTTTCAAGAGTTTCAACATATTGGCTTCAACTTGCAGCAAAATAATGTTTCTGCTCGAATATTTGCCTTATACAGACCTCGCCCTTCTGCTAAAAACAAATTGAGTTTCTAAAATTTTGAGGAGGTATTCCTTGAATTGATCTCTGATCTTAATCTAACTTGCAGTCAACCTCTATTCTTTTGTGATTTTAATATCCATGTTGATAATGTTCTTGACAATAATTCCCAGAGATTTACACAAATATTCGATAGTTTTGGATTAAAACAACTTGTTACGAAACCTACACACGGTAGCAGCCACACATTAGATCTAGTTATCTGTAAATTAACCTCAAAACTGATAACAAATGTGGATGTATGTAACCACGAATTATCAGATCACTTCAGTGTGTTTGTGGATCTCAACCTGTCAAAACCAGCCCCTACTAAAACTGAATTAGTATATAGGAAGTGTCGGAATATCAACTTGAGTCAATTCATAGAGGACATCAATATTGAAACTGTTTTACAAAAGATATCTTACTTAGACTCTGTTGATAATAAGTGTCCAGCTTTTAATTAATTCCTTGTTGGTTCTTTAGACAGACATGCTCCCCTTAAGAAGTATACAGTAAATGGTTCAATGATTCCCTTTTAACATTAAAACACCAGTGTCAAGTGCCGAAACCAACTGGCCAAGGTCAGGTTTATAAGTACACTGTCAAATAAATAAGCGTAAATGTAACCAGTACTCTCTGAGTTAAAATCAACCAAGATAAACAAAATCTGCGATCTGTTTCCTGATGTTGCTGAAACCAAACAACCTATCTCTTCACTTGACAGTGTAGATGATTCAAGCTGATTAAAGTTGGATCCAATTTCTCTAATAGATCTCAAGAAGATTATTCAAAATGCTCCCACAAAATCATGCTATACCGACATGGCTTTTTTCAAAGATATGTTTACCACATCTGCTTCAGATATTATTCACTTTAATAAATGATTGTGTCTCTTGCTGCCAGTTCCGACTGCATTCACAATGACGCTTGTAAGACCATTACTAAAGAAGTTAAACCTTGATCCAGATTGTCTTAAAAACTACCAATCAGCAATCAGTATCAAATTTATTGTTTTGTTTTGAAAGTCATTGAGAACGTTATTGCTGAACAACTCAAAGAACATCTATCTCATGAGAATCTCTCAGAACCATTTCAGTCCACATATCGAGACAATCATAATTAATTATTTGGTTCACACTTATTTCTATAGAGTCAAATCCCGCGTGAATGATATATTTATATATAAAACACAGTGATATTTTGGTAAAATCCTTACCATTGTCAAAATATCCATCAAATTCTACCCCCCCACCCCCCGGTCTTTGGAAAATGGGGATGGTTATTCCATACTTGGGAAGGAAATTTACCTCACAGTTAGTCTATGACGTACAGATATTAGGGGGTTATAAAAGAGGGTGATGATCGAAATTCATCAGAGCTCATCTAGATATTCCGAGCAGCTATCAGCTATGCTTTATTTAACTGTAGTTTTATTTACAATCAGAAAGGAAACACAACAAGGAAGTCTGATGTTACTACATTGGCTTGTTATTATTAAAATATTATATCATTTTGAAATAATTAGTATTAATTTCTGTCTTAATGATATACATTTTTATTTTCAGAGTTCTTTCAACTATATATAAATATTTAGAACAACGAGAAGATGATGATGTGACTGTAGAAATATCTTATTTAGAGATTTACCAAGAAGTGGCATATGATTTACTTAGTTCTGCTGCCTTAAACACTTTCTCACCTGTAGTTCCACTTCCTAAGGTAACCAACCATACAAGGAAAAGTTTCTTTATTGAAATAGAGTTGTCATAAATAATATTGTCACAATCGATTCTTTTTAGCACACTAACGAGCTAGAATTATCCAATCTGTATAAAAATTTGTTTTGGTTTTGTAGCTAATCGCAACAAAGGAACTGACTGATTTCCTACAATTTTCCTTTATATTGTCCAATAAGAAAGTTTGTTATTTGATTTACATGTTTCATAAAGTAATTTTGAAAATCAAATCAAAAAAAGTAAGTTATATAATGTCTTGGACTGGATGTCAGTGAATCAATTTCAAAGCTTTTTCCAATCTTCATAGATGCATAAAGATGGTGTTAAATTGCCATAATTATGTTTTTATATGCCCATATTGTCATGTGGATGTATTATGCCATTGCGTCTGGACGTTCGTCCGTCCACATTTTGTTTGTGGGCACTCTACAGGTCCCAATTTTTATCCGATTTTGACAAAACTTGAAATATACGTCTATCTCCCAAAGATCTCGGTTTCTTTTGATATTGACATGTATCGTAACATAACTTCATGGATTGTATGAAAAATCGCGTTTTTAGCTTATGGACACTCTAGAGGTCACAATTTTCATCTGATTTTGATGAAACTTGAAATGCATGTTTATAACCCAAAGATCTCAGTTCCTTTTGATATTTGCGCTTTTTTTTTTAACTTGATCTCTATCCATCTCTTGCAAAATATGGGCCTGGCAACTGCTGTTTTTTTGTTTTGTAGATATCTGTTGTGGAAGGTTTAGAAGGTTTGTTTGTTATGAGAAATCTATCTTTACATATAGCTGCTAATGAACAGGTGGCACAGTGTCTGCTGTTACAAGGACAATCTAATCGTAAAGTTGCTGAAACACCTGTCAATCAAAGATCATCTCGATCTCATGGTGTTGTTACAATACATTTAACATGTAAAGCTAAAGGTTCCGATATAATTGTCAGGTATGTAAATTTCTTAAAGACTAACATGATACTTCTAGTGCCTACAGCACAGATACATGCATTTTCTTATCCAAATGGACATAGATTTCATGAATCCGATCGTATTCAAAATTTTACACATATTAGCCTGGCCACGTCTAACTTGATTTCATCTTACATGCCTACATTTTCATGTGGATGTATATTGTCGTTGCCCCTGTCCTTCCGTCCACAATTTGTTTGTGGACACTCTACAGGTCACAATTTTTATCCGATTTTGATGAAACTTGAAATATAAGTTTATATCCCAATGATCTTAGTTCTTTTCGATATGGGCATGTATCGGACCATAATTTCATGGATTATGGTTCCTGATTGTATGAAAAATCACGATTTTAGCTTGTGGACACTCTAGCTTTCAAAGTGCTATCACTGAATCGTAATATAAAAACCAGGAACTTACCTATATGATGCCCAATTAGACCAAAAAAACCCCAACTATTCTGGTTCTCAGATAATCCAGCATCACTTAAAAAGGGTAGCATCACCCATTTTTATTTTAAAAAATAAAAAATAAAAACAGTCTCATTAATTACTGCAGAAAAATGTTTTACACCGTTACAGGAAGTAGCTCTAAAAAAAAAAAATACTTCTCTGGACAGTTCCATTATCTTCAAGTAAACTATGCAGCACACTCACCCATGCAGTGCTAAGTAACTAATAGAAAATGTAATCTTTACAAGTAAAGATAGGGCAAACATACAGTCAGTGGCTAGAAGTCAACAACAAGAAAAAAATCCTTAATATAAATCCTCACACTCCTATATTCAATAAGCAATACATGGAAACTTCACAACTAATACTGTAAGTCAAATCTGATAACCTTCAAACCTAATAGATGAGGTCAAGAGTTAGCATAACACATGCTGATATCTGTCTATAATCTATCTCCTTTATACATCTTTTTTTGTAAAGCTACTCTATTATTATAATCTTCTCGCTCTATAATTAAATTATAATCAGTAGTTTATCTCTTTAAAAGTATCTCACACTATCTCTTTGATATATACAATTCCGATTCATAATAAAACACAATGCTATACCTCAAAGAGATATTCTTATCATTAAAAAATATCAAATGTTAATACAGAAACTGGCTTTAATGTGTATAAACAAATGAAACCTTTCTTTATTGGAACTTCAAAACAAACATTTTTTGTTACTGACATATTTGGAACTGAGAATTATTTTAGAAATATTTGGTGTGTATTTTATTCAGTGTAAACATACTTTAAATTTGTTATGCTAATGCAGGTCAAAGGTCATACATATGTACCAAAGATATTTCTCACTTGACTGCTAAGTAACTCTTTATGTACGTAAAACTGTAATTAGGATCAGTATTAGGATTATAGTAGTAATATGTATACTTGATCTTGTACTTAGATTTATACAGGTTTATATTCTTAGTGCTGATAATTAAATTAGTTATAAATATTTTATTTTGTAAGGTCACTGTAGATCATGTACAAATTGGAACAGATTTGTGTAGAAGTCAGTGAAAATTCGTAAAATACTTTCAGATCCAAGTTACATCTGGTTGATTTAGCTGGTTCAGAGCGTGTATCTAAAACAGGAGTTGATGGTCAGCAATTATCAGAAGCTAAATCTATTAATTTATCATTACATCATCTAGAAACGGTTATTATAGCCTTACAAGCTGATTCTATAGAAACTGGTAGACAGAGACTGAATATTTTTCCACCCAAGAGGTGAGATGTTCTTAAAATGTGTTATTAATCTTCAAAAGGTCAGTGCAGGTTTGAGGATGCTTAGCCTATTACTTGTTCTATTTTTTGCTTTTGTCTTGGTGTTCTTGCATATGCACTAGGACCTTGCTGTTAATGCAGGTGTTGGTGTTCACAATGGTGGTCACATTATAGCGAGCCAGGTTATTGGAGGATAACTCTTAATAATTTGAATTGAAATTGTATTTGTATTAATTTATGAACCAAGGCACCCCAGCGTTAGACTGAAGCCAGCAATTTAGTGAGGTTATAGTATATTTCAGTTTTTAAGCTTCATTTAGTATTTTTGATAATTTTGATTTCTTTAAATTCTTTTATATTTATAGATCCAGTTTGTGTTGGGTTTTTTTATTTTCTATTTTATTCTGTTTTAGCTTTATTTTAATTTTGATTTCTAGATTTTATGTTTCTCAATCACCTAATAGAAGTGGCTGTAATGATGGCCCCCGAGGTAGACATATTCCATATAGAAACTCTCTTTTGACTATGATCTTAAGAGATAGTTTAGGTAAGACAGTAAAAATGAAAACTCATGGTGAAATAATACTCGAGAGACTAATGAATTTGTTTACCAGATACAGGCCAAACACTATGCATTGGTTGTTTTTTGTATTTGAGCCGAAAAAAGCTCCCCTTAATGAACAAATTGAAAAAATCGCTCCCCTAAAAAGCTCTCCCGGTTTCGATAAGAAGAGTGATTTAGAAATTAAGGAGAGTGATCTGATATTAAGGAGAGTGATTAGTTTTATGTATATGGGAAATGGTTCTGAAGATCAATAACTGTGTGTGAGGTGTCATTCCTGGTTACATAAATGATAATAAACATCGTCTGCTAAATAATTGCACTCGTACTCATACGGTCAAAAACTTTTGCTATCGTTTAAAACTACTTACGATATTCCAATAGAAATACTTGTTGACATTTCTAAATATTTATAGCTTGTATATATTTTGTTTAAAAACATAACCCATATTCAAAATATAATCATAAACGCTTGAAAATTCCATCAAAATATAATCTATTTCTTCCGGAATTATTCTCATTGGAAATTTTCACGTGCTATTTCTCGTAAATTCTCACGTCTCGGGAGAGTTCTACTTTACATTTCAGTTAAATTAACCTATGATGCATATAGGTGCCATCTATTTTTAGCAACATATTCATCAGAATTTTATTACCATGTGCAATCACATTATACAATAATCGAATACACCAAATAAATGTTCACAATGACAGCATGGTGGCCATCAGAACGCAAGTCCTTCACACTATTTTTATTTTTTTTTAAAAATACATATGTCCATGATTTACAAATAAGGAGAGCAATTTTCAATTTTAAGGTGAGGGAGAAAAACCTCCCTTTGGTCGACATTCAGGTGCGCGGCAGGCGCTCGTGAGCGATCGCCCACATCAAAATACAATGACTGACTGACAATGCACCTGCTTTTTTTTTTTGCCAAATATCACATATTGTTATTTATGACATGTACATATGTTTATATTGTATGCTGTCCTCAATGGATGTTTCGATACAATAAAATCTTATCTCTTATGTAGGTCCCGACGTGATACAAAAAAAAATGAGCCCATATTTTAGTGACAATGTTATTTTTGATACATTACTGTTGTGTTGCATTGTGTCATATTCGTTTAGCACAGTTACTTAACTGAGAAATAAATACATATTCAGGGGAAACTAGAGTTAATTGATGTATGAATATATTGCATAGTGCAACGAGGCTTGAAATTTTAAGGCTTAACATGATTTAGAGAAATCACATTTTAAGAACATTTTAGTTTCTGAGTCTGTGTGGCTCCCTGCGAAAGCTTGCTGACTGAAGACTAATGGGGTATTCTTCAACTGGTTGTGTTAATTCTGAAACAGGGGACATAATCAATAACTGATTTATACTGCCTTAGTAGGCTATTGGGTGGAACTGCTTCATTAAATCATAAACATGACAAACAAGACAAGAGTACAGCAGCAAAGACAAACAAATTAAGAACCATGAATGTGCAAAGTGCTAACATTTCCGATTTTAGTGTCCAAGTGAATAATACTGTTAAACAAAACTGTGAAAAAAAAGAGTAAAAAAAGTCTTATTTTATTTTATATTATCAGAAATAGGGAAATTAAAAAAAGAGCAATTAATCAGTCAATCAAAGATAAAGAATCTAATATATGACATCAGACAATAGTGATGTCATTCATTATAACCATGGTTTCATAACAACTCAATATATACTTTAACCTATTTCAGGAGGAAATTGTTTAACTGCTATGATAGCAACTGTATCATTAGAATGTCAGAATCTTGGAGAATCAATCTCTACTTGTAGATTTGCTCAAAGAGTTGCCTGTATAGCTAATCATGTTACGTAAGTAATTAATAGATTAGATTGCTAACATTAGATCTAATGGCATCTAATTCTTGGTTGGTACTACTTTCCAGTGTTCCATTGCTCAGTAACCATATATATCGAGACTAAGCCAATAAAGTGCCAGATCTGGGGGAAGAAATGACCTGGAGGGCAGAACCAGGGTGTGTGTTAAGATAAAGGGTATTTTTCACCAATCAGGAGATCTGGCAAAGGTACTGCAGTACCCTCAAGATGTTAAAAGGTGTTTTATATAAGTTACAATTAATTAAAAAATGAACTTTGATTACTGAAATTTCGTTACAAAAATATAAGTGCAAAAGAATTCTATTACCAGGTAATATTCAATGTGCATTTCATTTACAGGAGAAATGAAGAAGTAGATGATAAAACCGTTATTAAACAGTTACGTAAGAAAGTAGCAGAATTAGAATCAGAAGTAGCGTGTTTAAAATTAGAACAGGTTTGTAAATCCATAAAGTAAATCATCTGTTTGTATCACATTAATTTTCAAGTTTGAATCACATAAATCATTTAAATTCTAAATGAAAGATCCACACACATAGTGTTTCCAAATCTGGACTTTCTTTAAAATTTAGGCATCTGCTACAATTATGTCTGGTCAGGTTTGAATTTCATTATTTTATGAATGAAGCTATTAAAGTTAATGTTATTTCTGTTTTAAATTAGCCAAGTTTTATGAAAATACATAATAGAATATTTAGCTGATAAATTCAGAAGCAAGTGATATAACTGAATGATATCACAAATCCTCCTGGAGGCTTTTGAAGTTGGAAGTTCAGAAATGAGTTTTATTTTCTATAGTGGCTGTATAAGTGATTGATATTTTATTTATTTTCTAGAATTCTGAAATAGAACAGACCAACAGTATGAACAATAAACTTACAGACGAAGACAAACTTGTCTGTTCACAAGTAGTTCAAGACTATCTGGCCGGTAGAATTAATGATCCAGTTTCATCAGGTAGAGACATTGCTATTACTGTAAAGACAATTTCATTTGGCGAGTAAAGAAGTCATTTACAAATAAATCTTAATACATTACCATATGAACTAGGATGTCTTGGAAATGGGAAGATTTTTTCTATTCATCTCAAAAGTGTAAACTTTAATACCATCATAATAAGTGATATCAAGCATTTCTCTTCAAAATGCTTATTTATCTACAGTAAAGTTTAGAATAGATCATCTGTTTCTATCAGGCTGTAGAGACAAACATTGGCTGCGTCCTGTTTTTTTATACTACATGTATCTAGACCAATAAAATTGCACATGATTTCTGGATTTATATTAAGTACTTATTATTTTTAGGAATAAGAACCCCGTATAGATTTAGAGAATGTATGAAGTTATTAAAGAGACTTGTATTAAATCATGAAACAAATAGCCGAGAAGCAACAGATAACAGACATTTTATTGGTATCCAACCATCTATACCATCTAAATCTACCTCAGTTAAACAGTAAGTTTATTTACTAACTTGTATAGATAAATAATGGTTCAGCAAGGAACAAGGTCTATGTGTTCGGATGGGACAAAAACCTGAGATCCTGTGTACACATTGGTGCGCATGTAAAAGAACCCTGACAGTTGGAATTTGATTGCTGTTCTGGCAAAATTTCCCTCTTCTATTTGTTCAGCAAGGAACAATGTATAGTCTTTCAGATGGGACAAAAAACAAGGTTCTGTGTACGCATTGGGATGCACTGTTAAATAACCTATGCCAGTGGAATTCAATTACAGAATAGTAGGATGTTAAACCCCATTTCATTCATGCATTCTAATGGTTTATTTTACCCATCTTTGAAACTAGTACTCACTAGGATATGTAGATAAGAAATGAATAAGCTACTAATGAAAAGTAAGCTTTAATTGTCGAGAATTATAAATAATAGGGCATAAAAAAACATTAAAGTTTGTTCAAGCTTGACAAGTAAAGAGTGTCTATACCACATGACCTGAAAGTCAAAACAATCTGAATTGAAAGTACTCGGAGTAAACATAGTAAAATAAGTATATCTGTATATATTAGTCTCTAAATGACCTCATCAATAATTAACCCATTGTATTCCACCACTGATAATTAACCTTATGCCTATTCCATTCGATTAACCCATTCCATTCCACTATTATTAATTAATCCCATCCTATTCCACCACTGAGTACTAACCCTATTTTTCATTCAACCACTGAGAAATTATCAGTGATAATATTTGGATTTAAGTTGTTTTATTTAAAGGTCACCATGTTGTTATTTAGATCTGAAGAGAATAGGAGTAAAACAGTGTGGACTATAGACAGTAACAACCAGACTTCAGATTCTACTCATTATACAGGTATAATAACCAGTATTCATGACAAATATGTTATTTCTATTAATTGATCCACATCATTAAAACAAGGATTATATATGATATAGCAACATGTTCTGTTACCTCTAGGCTGATATTTACCGAAGATGACATCAGCTGAGATCTTATCAGTGTTTGGACTATGTTCACTAAGCGTAACAACTATACAGATTATGTTATAATTACATGACAGCATTATGTTATAATTGCATGACATCATTATGTGGAGCATTGCAACCTACTTAGAAACTGCAGATCAAAAATTTACAATTTGGATGTTTTGGTTCAACTCAATTTTTTTTATCACACTAAGTATAAATTTCTACAAAAAGTGTAAAAATAATTCTTCTTTCGGTATAGGTTTTATCAGAGCAAACTATAAATGTCTACGTGATTGGGTAAATAATTATGCAGATGTGGAAATATAACTGTTTCTAATTTGGTTGAGCTAGATCACTTCAATTTTCAGGTGATCGCATCTTGCCATGCTCGATGGACATGGTTAGGAAAATCTGCCATTTACATTGAGTGAAATCAATGCACATGATATTTTTCAGCCAAGAAACCATCAACAGCAAAACTGAAAGAAAAAACAGATCCTGATTTACAAACATCTGTGAAATCTAAACTACAATCAAATAATAAATATAAATCACCTTTTGAACGAAAACGAGAGAAAGAAATTGAAAAATTAACTAAAAGTATTAAAACTATAGAAGAAAGAAAATGGAAGGGAGAAATAGAAATAAAAGAAATGAAACGAGATTTAACTCAAAAAGAAACAGAGATCAAAAGTTTAGAATTACGGTATGAAATGGTTCCATATTTTGTGTTGTGAAAATTGTAGTTTTGTTGTAATTTTTGGGTGATGTTAAGTATTTAATTGCACATTTCCTAAATGTTGTAATGCTAAATAGAGAAAAGTATACATGATAAATTTGATTGAGTAACCTAACAAGAGTATTGACAGCACCTCGAAATAATTAATTAATGTAAACTAAATTTCAAATGAGATTGTATGCAAAATCAGATATGTCAATCCATCACTGACATTATAACAGATGTATTAATGTTTATTACAAATCATAACATAGTATATTATAGCCAATACAAATTTTCGATAATTAGATGAATCTATGGTTATTTTGAATATTACATAAAGCATCATTACATTTTCTGAATGAAGAAAGGGGATGTATATATATTATTTATTTATCAGAAAACAGTTAGAAGGTGTTCAACAACAGATAAATAATCAACACAATTTAATAGAAGAATTAAAAAATACAGACAGTGGACAGATTATACAAGAATTGTTAGTACAAACTCAACTTCAACGTAAACAGGTATTACACAACCAACATAAAATATAGCGATATATAGTGGACTGGGTTGGCCAAATGAATAATCCAAGGTCTGTCATCTATGACCTTGTGCGTTATAGCTGTCTCTGGTTTCATCCCATTGCTAAAGGTCTCACTGTGATTGCTAGTGAAATAAAAATAACCCATTTTAAAATTACACATATTGACGAGCAATTTAACTCTCATTTATAAATGGGGAAGAATGCATTTTAAATTCTTTTGGGAAATCAACATTTGTTTTTTTAATTTGTTATACATATTTGTCGGTTTTCTTAATTACAACTTGTATATCAGTATTGTGATACGCAGATTGTTTCTTAATGTAAAAATTTTTACCTACCTAGGCTATATAAGTTTCTTTATACATTTATAGGTAGTGATGATATGTTTTGATATGGCAAATCACATTCACATTGCAATATTTCATTGGCATTAATCGTTTGATATATGTTACACAATGTTGGCAGAGTGTTGATTCCTTGTATCCTTCACTAATAGTAAGTACCAGTAGCTAGGTCAGTACCAGGTAAAATGATATACCGCAAGCAATCGCCCAAGGGAGGTAAGAACATCAGAGAGTTCTGTGCCATACCTGAATCCTATACAACAACGCCAGGAATCCAAACGAAAGTCTTTAAAAATTAAATTATTCTACTTTGTTTATAGGCGAAACTAGTTGGTAAACTGAAATCTATGAAAGATGCACAAGAAGAAAATATTAAAGACGATGTGGATGAAGCTGTTGCTATGAAAGACTGGGGAATTGAAGAGAAATTTGGTCAGTACAGAAAAAGAGATGGTTCACTGAATACCAGACAAGTTTTTAATATGCTAAAAGAAGAAGAAGAAAAAAAGAAGAAGGTAGAGTAATGTTCTTTACACTGAAAACTTTGTGTGCATCCGGAAAAATACTGACTTCTATCAATTTTGGATTTCATTTCTACAGTGGTTGTGTGGTTAATTAGAAGACTGGACTCACCAGTATAGTGTGTTGAGAAAACCCTTCAGGACTTTTGGTACTTTGCAAGTCTTAACAGGTGTAAGGGAAGTGGGTCTTGTTGTTCCATACAAATTTGTAGTGAACATAAAAGATCCATTGGCAGATAGAACTTGACAAAGACTTTGCATAAAATGCAGCTGTTCTAAAAAAAAACCAAAAAAAATACACGTGTGACTGAATATAGTATGCAAGTACAAAAATGTGCATTTGGATAATGATATCTTGAACCCTAGTCCTTTCTATAAATTTAATTTATCGTCTTGTGGGGAGCAAGAATTAACATATTTATCCCAATTAGAAATCTTATATTATTGGAATATTTTAGGCTGTGTATGGTGTGGAAAAAGAAAAGATAATAACTCTATCTAAACAGCTTGAACTACGAGAGACAGAAACAAGAAAAAAACTAAAAGACTTGAAAGAAATGTTGCGATTTTCAAAAATGTCCGGTATGTTATGTTACCTGAATGTCATCTTGGAGGGAAATCAGTGTTGATATAATTTCTTGAAACAAATCATGTTCAGTATGTGCACAGAGTATAAAACATACTATAATATATTGTTACTGATAACTGCAAATTTATCAAATATTGCTTGTGAAATTTAAAAATATTTATAAGAGGGTTGCATGTAACAGAGCTTAAATTGTTAGATTTCATAATTATTAGCTTTATTTAACAAAAAAAATTTGTTTATACCTAACTGATTAC